CTTCTACAGGGGTTGAGATTCGGCTCAGACTGAACTACACACTCTTTAAGAAAAAGCATTCTCTGGGGTGCCTGGGTGGCTCACTGGGTTGGGCCTCTGCCTTCGGCTCAGGCAGTCTCAGGGTCCTGGGATCGAGCCCCACATGGGGCTCTCTGCTCAGCTGGGAGCCTGCTTCCACCTCTCTCTCTGCCTGCCTCTCTGCCTACTTGTGATCTCTCTCTCTCTCTCTTTAAATAAATAAAATCTTTTTTTTTTTAAAGATTTTATTTATTTTATTTGACAGACAGAGATTACAAGTAGTCAGAGAGGAAGGCAGAGAGAGAGGTGGAAGCAGGCTCCCAGCTGAGCAGAGAGCCCGATGCGGGGCTCGATCCCAGGACCCTGGGATCATGACCTGAGCCGAAGGCAGAGGCTTTAACCCACTGAGCTACCCAGGTGCCCCAAATAAATAAAATCTTAAAAAAAAAAAAAAAGCATTCTGATAGAACACAAATGTGATATTTAGTGCTTAAGAGACTGTTGTCTTTTTTTCAAAAAATGTTCTGATGCAAAAAGGAAGTAACTGAGAGGAGGCATATAGCATAGTTATTTTTTCGATTAGTTTCATTACCGTGATAGTTCGTTTTCTGGGTTTACTTAATTACGCTGTACTACTGTACTACTTGGTGATTTAATCACAAGATATAGGTATTTTGTATATACAGCTAACACCTCCAGTCAGTTGACCTTAAGTAAAGGCTATTACCTTTGACAACTGACCCAATCTAATCCAGAGCAAGAATAGTTTTCCAGAAAGGAAATTGTCTCAAGTTTCCAACATTAGCTCCTGGCCGAATTTCCAACCTGCTGGTCTGCCCTGCGGATTTCAGACTTGCCAGCCCGCACAACTGCATGAGTCAATTCCTTAAAATTAATCTCTTAATATGTATTTCTTATTGTTTTTCTTTCTATGGAAAATTCTGACCGATACATTGACACGTATTGCCCAACTAAAAGTTTTTGAGCTGGAAATTCAGAACCGTTCAATTTGGGTGAGCCAGATCCAGGCTCTTCCCACCCTGGGGCTTCTCTCTTCAACTAGGGATTTCCAAGGTTGTTGTCGAAAAGGAAAGAAGATGGAGGATCACAAGTGGGGAGGTCTGGAGTGAGGGCAAGCTGGGAAGGGCACACATCACTTTTTACCATATTTCACTGACCCAAACTTTGTCACATAACTACACACTGATGTTAGGAGCCTGGGAACTGTGGTCTACTTTGTGGATCATCAAGGAAGAGGAAACAGGTTTGGTGAACAGCTAGCTAAGCTCTGCCACATCCATAAGGCAAAGAGACAGGTAACAGACTCAAACTTGACTTCCACTTCCTCCAATTTTTTTTTTCCTGTTTCTTCTTTTCTTTTTGTTTTTTTTTTGTGAAAGATCTAGTCTTGAAGCAGAGTTGCACCCAATGTTACATTAGTATATTTTATATGTTATAAAGATATATTTAACAATATTAATATATATTTAATATAATTTAAAAATGTATTAAAATATATAATATATAAAAATTATATAAAAACATATATCATTAAACATATATATTTTTTAAAGTATGCTTAACACACAATGTGTATACACGATGTGTACAACATAGTGATTCACATCTGTACATTATGCTGTGCTCCCAAGTGTAGCTACCTTGTCACCATACACACCTATTACGATGTCATTGACTGTGTTCCTTACGCTGTATCTTTTATTCCCATGTCTTGTGTATGACATGTAGGGAGTAGAAATTTTAGATAACAAGTCTGAAAAGGTGGATCAATGCCATCTGTAGAGGGCCCTAAAGGCCAAGGTGGAGTTTGGTCTTAGCTGGGTCAGCATGAGGAGGAGAGAACGGCATAGTCAGCGGCATAGTTCAGAGAGATTGTCTTGGTGGCCAAGTTTATGATAGTTTATTTGGGAGGGAGGTCAGAGATGAAAAAACCACCAGCAGTCCAAGTAAGAGAAAATAAAGACCTAAACTGGATGTGCTTATTGAGAAGGAGAGAACAGGGGCGCCTGGGTGGCTCAGGCGGTTAAGAGTCTGGTTTTGGTTTCAGCTCAGGTCGTGGTCTGAAGCCTCCAGCCTGTCTCCACGTTCAGCTCAGTCTTCTGGGGATTCTCTCCTCTACCTCTGCCACTCCTGCTTGTGCTCTTTCTCTCCAATAGATCACTCTTTAAACACACACACACACACACACACACACACACACACACACACGGAAGAGAAGACAAAGAACAGATTGAGAGGTGCCTCAAATGAGAAGTGGGTGTTTAGCACTTGATGGACCTGGGCCCTGACGACACTTTCCCTTCTTTGGTAAGGCCCTGTCCTGGGTTTTGGAATCCGGAGATGAAGTTTCTTCACGGCTTTTCCTCTGCCTGGAGCATGTATCTGCCTCCCCGCTGGCCTTCAGTACCCACCACCTCTCTAGATCCTTCAATACCAAGCTCAAATCCCTTTAAGAGCCCACATGTTCATCAAGAGAATGGAAAAACAAATGGTAGTGCGGCTCTACAACGGAAGGCCTGTCAGTTATGAAAAGGAACAAACCTGTGATGCATGTGACTTGGGTGACTCTCAGTTAAATGATGCTGAGCGAAATAAGCCAGACCCAAGCACACACCCTAAGCTTCCATTCATAGGAAGTTCAGAAACAGGCAGAAGTAACCTACAACGAAGAAAAAAACCCAGAGTAGCACACTTGCTTTTGGGGGCGGGGGACTGACTGTCAAGGGGTATAAAGGAGTTTCCTGGGTTGATGGACAGAGGTTTAGGTCACATAGGCACATGGGTTTATTAAAATCTGTACAATGCTACACTTCAGATCTGCACTTCCACGTATAAATTTTATAACCCCCCATGTACACAAAGATTGAGCGGTCACTGACAATGTGTAAGCTGCTGGCCGGCCAGCTAAGTATGTGGAAAAGCAGAGATAGGAGTGTTAATAATGATGGAGTCTAGGTGATGGATAAATGGGTGCTTAATGTCCATTTCTCTCAACTTCTCTGTGTGCTTGAAAGAGTTCATCAAAAACGCTACGGGGAAACTTCTGAGTTTAAGATTTGATAATTCACCTATCAAAGAGGATTGGCAATCAAAAACCACCCTGCAGGCAAAATGTTGGCCATTTGTAGGGGGCTATGACCAGGGGCTGGAAAAAGGCGCAGTCTCATGCAGGATGCCTTCCCAAATGATTTTGGCTGTTTAGGTGCTGTAGAAATCTTCTTCTTTGCACTTTTTCCTGAGTTTCAGCATCACTAAATCTTCTCCTTCTTGCAGACTAACCCTCTATTCCCTCATGGTTTGTGTGTCCTATTGTCCTGGGGACAAAGAAGTACAGACCACCTAAAATTTGTTATCCAATAGTAAATTTCACATCTAGTTTGATTACTGACTGCAAAGTTATTTGAAATACCACACAAACTGATTTGTTCCCTTTTTTATTCCAAGAATAAAGAGACTCAACAGAAATGTCAGTTTATGGACAGAAAACCTTCCTGGTCCATCTGAGGTCTCCTGGGGAACAGAAATGTCAGGAGCAAATAATTAGAAATGGTCATCAGTACAATCTTACTTTGCCACAGAAATAGCACAATCACACAGACTGTAGGTCTTTTTCCCTCTGTGTTTAGCCAGAGGCTCTATCCCTTTTGTGAGCAATACTTTTTCATTAGAATCTCTAATTCCATCCTCATACTCATTTAATTATGTATTTCTTGTTTGTCCCAACTGGAAAATCCTTGATCACAAGTTTCAGTCTTTCAGAAATCATTATTTTTCTGAACGTTTTCAGCAGCTGGCTGGCCAACTTTTCCCTCACAAAGTCATGGTGCCTAATTAGGTCATGTCCTATACAGTTTTTAGTTTACTACCTATAAAAAATGCATCTTGTTAAAGGACATCTGTTCTTGCATTTGTTTACTATGTACTTTTTTGAGTCACTGACATTACTTTCATATGTATTTTTATTACATATTTAATTAAGTGAAAATCTTTACTTCTTAAAATAGATCAGCAACACACAGGTCTAATCTTTACAATTTTACTTTCTTCAATCCCATACGTGTTGACTTACAATTCACTCATTTTTCTATTTTGCTTTACTTAGATGCCCTAGTACAGGAAATAACAGTTCAGGTTTTTTCTTCCTCAGAGGGCAGAAGCACTCTATAACCTGGTGATTTACATCGTTGGGTAGTTTTCAGAATTATATGGGGTGCTGGTTTGCACTGCAGATTCTTCTTCTTCCTCTTTTTTTTTTTAGGGGAGTGGGAGGGGCAGAAGGCGAGGGAAAGAGAGAATTTTAAGCAGGCTCTACGGTGAGTGGAGCCAGACCTGGGGCTTGATCTCAGGATCCTGAGATCATGACCTGTGCCGAAATCAGGAGTCCGATGCTCAACTGACTGAGCCACCCATGTGCCCCTGTACTGCAGATTCTGGGACCCATTCCTCATACAGGTATAATGGGGATGACATTTTGAGAAACACTATCTGTTAAGACGTGGTTATGTTACATAATTTCAACCTCACAGAAACAAAATGGGCTAACCTAAATATTTAAAACACATGTGCATGTTATACCATTTACATTTTGGTCTCAAATTATCATCACTTTACAGTGCTGTTTCATAAATCAACCTGGAAAAAGTAAGACTTGATTTTTTATCTTGAAAGATGAACAAACCAGAGACAGCCTGGTGGCTCCCTAGCAATCAGTCTTTGGAATTTTGTGTGACCCTTGAAAATAAATGGCTCAATTATTATCTTAAGTGACTGTGCATGAAAACAAACACATGGTGCTTCAAAAAAAAATCTAATCACAATAGGCAGACCTAATGCATAAAATAACACACCCAACTCTGATACTCTCGACAGTTTACAGCACACATTTTCCAACACATACTACATACACTTATTAAAACTTTTAGGTACTATACACAATGTGCTTCTTTTATTTAGTAGTCTTGGGCATTTTCCTGTCAGCACCTCATTGCTTTTAACTGCTACAGACAATATTAAATTTTGTAGCCATACTGGTTAGTTACTTCTTTATTGTTATTTGGGCTATTTCCAAGTTTTAAAAAAGTGGTGCAACAAATATTCTTGGGTCCATCTCTTTATTCAGGATTAATTTCCGGAAGTGGAAGCTCTGGGCCCAAACACAGAATATTTTGAATTTTAATTGATATTGCTACTTAAATTCTAAAAGGTTGGATTAATTTACAAGGCATAAAATGCTATTTCTTTGGATACTTAACAATCCACATCTTTGCTAACATGACAGGTAAAATGTGTTTTAATTTTCATTTTTTAATTCAGTGAAGTTTAATTTAATTTCCATCTCTGTAATTTTGGTTTCTAGCTTTATCCATTTTCAATTCATTATCTTTTTAATTTCTAGTTCTAGCCATATACTTGTTATTAAATCTCTTTTTATATAGGCCAGCTTCTTGTTCTTCTATCATTGTAACATCCCATGGAATCTCACTGAAGATTGCAGAGTTTTTAGAGGTCTCAGACCTTCTCTTTTAACCTTTAGAAAGGTAGTATCCTACCTGCCTCTTTATTAGGCCTATGGAATATACTAGAGTTCTCAACTTACAGATTCTCTGAGTGAACAGAACTTTTTTCAGAAGTGTGATATGCATAGAGAACTCAAAGTTCCTATTTTGATCTAATTTTCTTTTAATATCTGAGTTCTAGCTCTTCTATTTATAATCCATTTCTGACCTTTGGACAATCTGTCTAGTCCTATCTTTCTAAGTCCTGGTTTCAACTTATGCTATCAGGGGATTGTCTCACTTAGGCTCTTGGTAGATATGCTACCCTAGGAAGGTGCTGGTCCTTGATGGGCAACATACAGTTATAGCCAGAAATGTTTCACAAATGGTATCTGATATGGTCTAGTTAAGATTAGTCTTAACTATAGCCTAAGTAAGATTAATAAAATTTCATTGCTTAGAGTAATTATCCATTGACCTAAAGTCAACAAAAGTCTTTTTTTTTCTAATATTAAAATCTATAATTGTTTGGAGGGGAGGGGGAACAACTAACTTGAAATAAACCAGAAAACACCTTCACATTAATCGTTCTTCTCATAAACTTCAAATTTGTACTTAATGCCTTTTTCCTCCTGGACATCAGAAAGAACACCTGGGTATCTGTAAAAGAAAAACATGCATAATAATGCGTCAATTAAAAAGCTTCCTTGTGGGGTGCCTGGGTGGCTCAGTGGGTTAAGCCTCTGCCTTTGGCTCAGGTCATGATCTCAGGGTCCTGGGATGGAGCCCCACATTGGGCTCCCGGCTCGGTGGGAAGCCTGCTTCCGCCTCTCTCTCCGCCTGCCTCTCTGCCTACTTGTGATCTCTGTCAAATAAATAAATAAAATCTTAAAAAAAAAAAAAAAAAAGCTTCCTTGACTCTCGGCCAAGAGGCATCAATAGTGTATAAGGTAAATAAAAGTTTTCCTTTCCTTTTTTTCTTCACAATGGTAAGCCACTGTGAAACTGGGTATTTTCCAAGTACACTACATATGGGAATGGAAAGAAAAACTTTCAAACTATATAGAAAGTTAGAAAACGAAAAGGGCAATTTCTCCTTCCCTTCTGACCCCTAATTCTTTTGTCCAAAAACTAACCACTGTCAGCAGTTTCTCTTTTCTTTCCACTAATCAATCAGCTAGTATGAAATTGCTTAATAACATTTTGCAAATCTCACACCTGGTATCAAATTTCTCATCTGAGCAAAGGAAAAACAAAATACAACCATCAGCTGCTTAGAGCAGAACTGAAGTTCTGTGTCCTCCCTGCCACTCAATGCTCAGTTTCCCAGTGTGTGGCTTACTGCAATTCTTTTCCTGGCATCACTGTTTATGTGGTATTTTCTAACTCTCAGTAAGCTCTGTGTTCCCTCCACTTTCCAATTCAAAACCCAGGCCCTCCTTTGGGTGTACACCAAGAAGTAGAACTGCTGGATCTTAGGCAGTTCTCTTTTTTAATTTTTGAGGAACTTCTGTACTGTTTTCCACAGTGGCTCCACCATTTTACATTCCCACCAACATGTATAACCGAGTTTCAATTTCTCTACCTCCTCACCAACACTTGTTATCTCTTGGGGGCTTTTTTGATAACAAATCATGATCTCAAAGAGATATATGCCCTCCCATGTTCACTGCAGCCTAATTCACAATAGCTACTTAAATGCCCATCAACAGATGAATAAAGAAAATGTGCTATATACATACAATAGAATATTATTCTTCCTCAAACAAGAAGGAAATCCTGCCATATGCAACAACATGATGAGCCTGGAGGACACTGGGCTACATGAAATAAGCCAGTCACAGAAGGACAAATACTGCAGTATCTACAACGGTGAAACTAATAAGAACAGAGAGTAGAATGGTGGTTGACAGAGGCTGGGGGGAAGGGAAGACAGAACTGCTGTTCAAAGGGAAGAAAGCTTGTTGTGCAAGATGATTAAGTTCTAGAGATGCGCTGTGCAACAGTGTGCCTACAGTTAACAACACTGTATTGTATAATGAAAATTTTGTTGAGAGTGGGTTTCATGTTTATTCTCATCACAATAAATTTTTTTTCCCCCACTGAAAAATAACCACCACGGGCAAAGAAAACCAAAACCCCGGTTCTCCATTTGAAGGCTGTACTGACCACTCCCATCTCCAACCCAAATCTTGTACTTCATCAGTATTTGTGGGCTACCCACCCCCATATGCTCCAGGTGGTGAGAAGGAATACTGCTTTACTCAGATTTGTGTCTCACTTTGGTTCTACTCTGTGATACTTAGTTATGAACACAGTCTTTGTCTTTAGGAATAATTTAGCACTGAGTTCATGATTTTTTCTTTCTTTTTTAAAAATTTTTATTATTTTTTTTTTGAGTTCATGATTTTACATTAAGTGCTCTACAAATGTTACCTTTTAATATTTTCATTTGGTTTCATCTCCATATTTTCTAAACTCAATGTAGTAAGGATAATACAGGAAAAAAATCTGTTTTGATATCCAGTACAATGCTGAGTAATAACACTAATGAGGGGTGATGCCATGTGATAAGAAATATAATTAGAGACATAAAGTAACAGCATAATGATGTATAAGGAGATGAAAAAGCTGTTTTTTCTTGAGAAACTTATATTTCAGAGGGAGAAGCTATGTTTCTATTACTAACCATTTTCTAAGCTGTTTTTGTTCCACTGTTTTATTTTTTTTATTTTTATCTTTTTAAAGATTTTATTTGTTTATTTGACAGAGAGAGAGAGAGAGAGATCACAAGTAGGCAGAGAGGCAGGCAGAGAGAGACAGAGGTGGAAGCAGGCTCCCCGCTGAGCAGAGAGCTCAATGCGGGGCTTGATCCCAGGACTCTGGGATCATGACCTGAGCCGAAGGCAGAGGCTTAACCCACTGAGCCACCCAGGTGCCCTGTTCCACTGTTTTAATAGCAATAAGCATTTTTCCTTAATTTTTAAAGAAATGATTTTATGAGGCCAACGTTTAACCATGACTTTAGTTTCTTTGGAATGAGTCAGCAAAAGTAACATTTACATTTTTGTCTGTGTGTAAAATTCTCAAGAGTATCAAGATTCTCAGTTAATAAAATAAAAGCAAAGTATCAAAATTATTTCTAAAACCATGAATAAGGGGCGCATGGGTAGCTCAGTGGGTTAAGCCTCTGCTTTCAGCTCAGGTCATGATCTCAGGGTCTTGGCATCGAGCCCCGCATCGGGCTCTCCACTCAGTGGGGAGCTTGCTTCCCCCCTCTCTCTGCCTGCCTCTCTGCCTATTTGTGATCTCTGTCAAACAAATAAATAAAATCTTAAAAAAACCAAACAAACCATGAATAATAGTAACAGAAATACCATGCTATTGGCTGGCTATGGTCACTAGCTGCAGTATTAATGTTAATCTGCTCTGTGAAACTGAAATTCATTTCTATTTATCTTTAATTTTACTTTCTACAATATTCACATATTCAGTCTATTTTAATAATGACCATAACTACCCCACCATCATATTTCCCAATGGCCTAGGAGCCACATATGAACTCCGAGTTTAAGCCTAACAGGATTTGGAAATACCTCCTATATGAACCACCCAGAAAGAAATCCAGCTCTAGAATCTTCAAGCAGTAAGGAATCCAATGAATATGAAAAGATATTAAGATCTGAAATGACAAAGTATCATGAGACTATTACAGAGATGATTTAATGTAAAGTCTAATAGGTAGAGTTCCTAAAGCAGTTATCCATAAGAAACAACTCACAACTAAAATAAAATGAAAGCTCTATAGCAAGCACAGGCTCAGGAGAAAGACAAATAACATGAATAAGGATCCTGTTGACTTGTTAGGACGTCATGGTAACAGAAGAGGAAACGTAGGCCAAAAACCCTCCTCGAGTTGTCCATTGATAAGGGACATCTGTACCAGCTCTGGAGCCAACTACTGTTTCAAAGACCTCGTCTGGTCTTTATCCTCTTTGACTGAAAGGTTAATACAGAAGATTGTTAACTAAGAGGAAAACCTGTTTGGGGCTCATTAAGCAGAAAACTGCTGATAGAAAATATTTGGGCCTGCTGGTTTGGTTGAAGCCTTGTGTGAAATTGTCTGAGGCAGAAAGATTTCTTCCAGACAGGAAGAATGAGGGCAGAGTCTTAGAGGACAGGCTGGCATGGTGCTGTCATTTAAAAAAAAAAAAGAAAAAGAAAAAAAGAAAAAACGAATTGCAGACAATGACCCATGGGGGAAAAAGGCAGACACAAAGTCAAACCTTACTTTGTTAAGACTAATTTCTGCTTTTAGGTTTCTACCGCTTGTGGTTTCACCTAACTTCTAATTTTATTCTCTTTGCACTTTACAACAGTCCTCTCATCTTTATTCCCTTTTACTAGTGCTTTTATTATCAGGAAGTATGGTGTTAATAAAAGATAACTGTGTTTGAACTGAAACTTATGGAACCACAAGAGGCCCACTAATAGGGATAATGGGTCTAAATGAAGTGTAGCTGTGGGGAAAGAATAAGGGGAGGGTAGAGAATGATCAGAGTTCATTTCTGGACAGTAGGGAGCAATTCTAAGTTCCTCAGTATATAGAGATTTGGAGAGAAAGCAGCTCAAGAATTGAGCAACATTACAAACTTCCAGGAACAAGGTATATTCCCTTTGTTTTCCTTTTTCTCTACTTCATCAAAGATTGACCTACCCCAGATTTACCCTTAGGGGATTCCTTCCACCTCACCTTTAAGAGGCTATTATTTTGTTGGTACAGGCTTGAAGGTAAGAAAACCATCAAATGATGCAATGAAAAAAGACTTTTTTCTTTCATAGCCTTGTTTAGAATGTCCATTTTGGAGCAATTTCCTTGGATTTTGGCTTTGGCTAGCAATTTCCTATCTGAATCTACCCACAATTAAAATTTTCTAGGGGTGTCTGAGTGGCATCCAACTCTTGATTTTGGCTCAGGTCATGATCTCGGAGTCATAAGATGGAGCCCCATGCCAGGCTCAATGGTAAGCATGGACTCCACTTGGGATTCTCTCTCTCCTTCTTCTTGTCTGCCCCCCCCCAATCTTAAAAATGCTTCCTAAAACATTTATTTTATTTTTTAGAGATTTTATCTATTTATTTGACAGAGAGAGAGATCACAAATAGGCAGAGGCAGGCAGAGAGGGAGGGGAAAGCAGGCTCCCTGCTGAGCAGAGAGCCCAATGCTGTCTCGATCCCAGGACCCTGGGATCATGACCTGAACCACCCAGGCGCCACTTCCTAAAACATTTAAAGAAGAACCAATACCAATTCTTCACAAACTCTTCCAAAAAAATACAAGAGGAATGAAACCATTTCCTAACACGTTCTGTGAGGCTGGTAATTCTTCTGACACCAAAACCAGGTGAAGACATTACAGAAAAAGAAAATTATATACAACATTCCATTATGAATATAAATGCAAAAATCCTTAACAAAATATTAGCAAACTGAATTCAGGAACATATAGAAAGGACTGTATATTACTACAAAATGGATTTATCCTGGAAATGTAGGAATAGTTTAACATGAAAATCAATGTAATACACTGTATTAATAACCTTTTAAAGACAAAGACCACATGATTATCTCATGACTCAGAGAAAGCATTTGACAAATCCAACACTTCCTCATGATAAAAATATTCAATGAGGGAGAAATAGAACAAATCTTCCTCAATGAGATAAATGGCATGTATGACAAGCCCACAGGTAATATACTTAATGGTAAAAGATTGAATGCCTTCCCTTAAGAGGAGGAACAAGACAAGGATGTCTTACTCTTGCCATTTCTGTTCGTAACTGCACAGGAGGGTCTAGCCAGAGCAAGTGGTAGGAAAAAGAAATTTTAAAAATGCAGATTAGGAAGAAGTTAAACTACCTCTATTTGTAAATGTATATCCTGCATACAGAAAGTCCTAAGGAATTCACTAACATTAGAATAAATGAGTTCAGTAAGGTTGTAGGATACAAGATCAATAAAAAAAAATCAATTGTATATCTATTACAATTGATTCTATTGGTTTTATTACCAATGAACAGTTTGAAAATAAAATGATGAAAAAGATCCATTTATAATAGTATCTAAATAAGGAGAAGACATCACACATTTATGGTTTAGAAAAATAAATACTGCTTAGATAGCAAAATTCTTTAAGGGAATCCCTGTAGTAACGGTTGCACAAATCTGAATATATTCAAACCACTGAACATATACTTTCAATGGGTGAATGCTGTGATGTGTGAATCATCACTCAGTAAAGATGTTAAATTCTTCATTTCTAAGAGCCAAGAGCCAGGATGGTAGTAAAATATTTTAAGTTATCAAGGATCCCAGAGTCGGTTCTGAAAAGAGGTCTGATGAAGAGCAACAGGATTTGGAAAGGTAAATTCACACAGTAATCTTTTCTTTTTGTTAGCAGCAAAGATGGAATGAGGGACAGCAGAGATCAATATTCACATAATATGAGAATAGCAACCTAAGCCGTATAAGAGAAAACATATAAGATGTGACAAAGAAATATAGCTGATTTCATAAATATATACAAAATCACTAAGTGTGATTTTTCTATGTGGTCACCTTTGAAGACTAAGCAAAAGGCTGTACTTCAGCTGTTTAGAATACTTATAGAGCTCTTAAAATTTTCAGTTTTCTTTACAGCTAGTTAAAAGCCCAAGGAAATCAGTCACACACTTCATTAGATTCATGACTATTACGTATTACTCTATGGACGGTTACTTTAAAGCCTGGCCATCCATGTATTTAGACTTGACTCTGAATGTTCTTTTAGGAGGTATTTCCCAAAACAAACTCAAAATTAAATAATGACTGGATTCAACTGAGACTATTTGAAAGAATGTGTTAAAACCTAGTCTGAAAGTGTGGATACAATTGATCTTTTACTCTCCATAGCCAAGAGCTGAAAAGTGCTTTTTAAATTTTCTTTTATTATTTTTAATTTTCATACTGAAGTATGAAAAGTGCTTTAAACTAAAATGCTAGGAGTCTTCAAAATCAGGCAGTTTCATGTTAAAATCACAACTCCATAGTAAAACAAGTGTAACCCCTTCTGTTGATTTCCACCACTGCTATCCAAATCCTTTACTCTTTTGCTTCAACTCTCATAGCCAACTGGTCTTTCAGATTCACTCTTGCTCCCTCCCTTCCGTTCTCCACAAACAGCTGGAACAGTATCGCTCGCTCTCTATTCAAACCCTCTAAACCTGCATCTGGTCTGACCCTTTCTAGCCTCCTGCTTGCTTACAATGCTCACGGTGGCTTGCAGGGTCAGGGAGCACACCATAATTGTTCCTGCCCTCTGGTGTCTACACTATTTCTGGTTTCTGGAATGCTCTTCTCTGCTCTTTGCATGGCTGGCTTCTTGCCATTTTAGATCTCAGCGTAGATACCACTCTTCAGAGAGGACTTCTCAGACAATACAGTATTTACCACATCACTGTATTTCAATTCTCCATATAGCAACTTTCTTGATGTTTCTCATTTGCTACCCTCTTCCTCTACTACAAAGAATCTAATCTTAGAGAGCAGGGATAGCATCTGTCTTGTAAGAACTATTTTTCCAGTGCCCAAGACAGCATCTGATGCTCAGCACAGATTTCGTGGAATGAACTAATGACTACTCTCTAGATTTCAGCAAGGTGATTAGAACTTAAACATTCCCAAGTTTGTTAAAGCAGATTTCCAAAAATTCCCAATGTATTTGTCTGTAGAAAACATAACTACTCCAAATTCAATCTGAAGAGTATTACTCTTTCTATAATTCTTAAACAGGAAATCCAAAAGTGCTTCAGACAAATTAATAACATTTTACTTACTCTGGCAGAAGTTTATATTTCTCCAAATCAATTTCTGGAAAAAATGTGTCACTTTCAAATTCCTGCATAATCCTTGTCACAAATAGTCTAAGATGGCCTGGTTTGTTCATGGCTTCCTTTGAAAAAAAAAAAAAAAAAAAAGCATTAATTTCTTAATTTATCTGTCAAAAGAAATAGAAACTCTTAAGATTTCTGTTTGTTTTAATTATACAGTCAAGTTTGTACTAGGTATTAGAGACATGCTACATAACTGTTACCTCCAAAGCATGCTATTTAAATATCCCATTCTTTATTTTGGGGTCCCGAAAAGTATGTCTTAGTTATTTTGAGAATGGGACTAATCATTATCAATAATTATGACAGTGAGTTTAAATATATTCTGGCCTCTAGTTTGCTGACATGAACTCTTTTTTTTTCATTTAAGCATTCAGTATTATCTTTTTTCTTTGGTAGTTGTTTAAGAATTAAGAACTATAAATTATTTAGTTATTCTCCATAGAAAAATTTGCATATATATGGACAAAATAGTATAATTTCATGAGCCTTTGATTATTGAAAACCCCAAGGGCATACTTCGTACATTTACACAGATCTTAATAATGCTTCCATTTCTTAGGAGATAGTAATAATGTTAGTAGGTAATTTACTTTCTTAGCCCCTTGTTGCTAATGATTGTATTTGGCCTTATATTGTTAATGGCTTTTCTAACTACTGCCTATGGTACTGTTGAGTTTCTATAGAAAAAACCTGCTCCGCTCAGCGGGAAGCCTGACTCTCCCTCTACCACTCCCCCTGCTTCTCTGTTCCTTCTCTCACTGTGTCTTCCTCTGTGAAATAAATAAATAAAACTTCAAAACAAAACAAAACTGCCCTCAAACAAGTATCTTAAAACTCTAATAAAAAGTCAAGAGTCCTAATTGCATCTCCAAGAAAGCAATAACCCTTGATTTTCAAATAGCTTGTGGAAGAAAAAAAACAAAAACAAAAAAGGGTAATTCAAGTGTGTTAGCCTTGAAATTCCAAATAGGGGCATATAACCAATATTACTTTTTATTTTTGGCTTTTTACTACAGCATATATTAAATCATAAATTCCCTTGCCCCAATCAAAAAAATTCTACTAATTTTTACTTTATCAAATTAGAGAAACTGAATGGGACCAACCACAGAAGCATTTGAAGGTCTGTATCCAAGGAAATGCTATATGGTAAAGGTTTTCTGTAAAGGGTCAGATGCTAAACATTTCAGGCTTTGTGGACTGTATGGTTTCTTTCTTACCTTTGTGGGCAACAGCAGCCATAGATAATACTAAACCAATGGGCATAGCTGTGTTACAGTGAAACTTTGTTTACAAAAACAGGCTGGCCCCAGGGAAGATAAGCTTGTTCTACAAACTATTGTGATGTGAGGCAGGTGGAAAAAGCAAAATTATCAGCTAGAGGTTCTACTTCCTTATGACTTATATAGATATAGATATACCAAGTTATATAATTATATTTAATTTTGAATATTTATAAGGAATGTATTTTGAAGTCAATATAGTATTAAATTATTCAAAATGCATATTGAACAAAATAAAAAACCGACTTGTTTTCTTAGAAATTCATCCTAGGTTGCAAGATCAAAGGAAAATGTCCATTTCCTCATAATACAAATAAAGCAAACCAAAGGTTGTAGAAACAGGTCTGGGATCCTGGTATATCTCTTCTTTATAAAACAATCTCTGGGTATATATGTCACCACAAGCCACCAAAGTGTAGGGCTGGTTTTTTTCCTTCCCACAAAATGCTAATCTCTCATTAGTGTTTTAAGAGTCAAAAAATTCTATTTAATATTCTCAAAAATTTTGAAAGCTGAAAATTTTGGTATCAAGAATAAGGAATATTTTGGGATACCTGGTTGGCTCGGTCTGTGGAGTGTGTGACTCTTGATCTTGCAGTTGTGGGTTTGAACCCCACATTGGGTACAGGGATTACTTAAAAATAAAATCTTACCAAAAAAAAAAAAAGAAAAAAGCTTTGGGTCAGAGCCTCCGTCTTCCAGTAATTTACCAAAATGACTAGCACCAAGGGAAAGAGGAGAGGTATCTGCTATATGTTCTCTTGGCCTTTTAGAAAACATGGAGTTGTTCTTGTGGCCACATACATGGGAATCTACAAGAAAAGTGATATTGTGGACATCAAGGGAAAGGGCACTGTTCAAACAGGAACACTCCACGAATGCTGACATGGCAAAGCTAGAAGAGTCTACAAGGGTATAGCATGCTGTCGGCACTGTTGAAAACAACTGAAGGACAAGATTCTTGCCAAGAGCATATTCATCATATTAAGCCCTCAAGAGCTGAGATAACTTCCTGAAGTGTGTGAAAGAAAATGATCAGGAAAAGAAGGAAGCATAGAGAAAGGTACTTGGGTTCAAGTGAAGCACCTCCTTCAGGGAAGGAGGCTGAGATGCTGGAACCCATTCCCTATGAATTCATGGCATGATGAGTGTACAAAAAAAAAAGTGCAGACTATTTTCTCTTTTACCTGATTTTCCTTATATTATGAAATCATATAGTATTTTTCCCATGCCCTCATATTATATAAAAATTGTTAAGGGAAAGTTTTCTGCTTTTCACAAATTCATATACATCTAGTCAGTATACAGCAACTGAGAGCCCCATCCCTTTATCAGTGAGAACATATATATCCATGAAAAAAAGGGGAATAATTCAGTATATCAAAGCACATCCAGAGAGCAGAAAACAGTGCAATGCAAGTATGATTCTAAGGGAAGGATTTAGAATGTTTTTAAATTAGAAACATTAACTATTTTGAATTGAAAATAAACTCCAACAGGCTTAAAAACTCACTTTTATATTTTTATTTAGTTTTCATGATAGTATCTAAAATGAATAATTCAAATTGACAATATGTCTAGCTAACAGTGGGGATAATATGCTTCCTTTGCTCATGGCTTAATTTTTTTAAAGTTCAGATGGCAGGGGAGCTGAAAGAAAGTGGGGTAGAACATTTCTTTATAATTTTACCTACCTTATAAACAGAACTGCCTCCCACTATCCAAACCATGTCCACTTTATTTGCTAATTCTGGTTGCTCAATAAGTTTTAAGGCATCATCCAAACTTTTGGCAAGAAAATGAGCTCCCTGTGGAGGTTCCCTGAGGTTAAAAAAAGAATTAGAAATAATTTCTATAAAACCTAATCATATTAAGCAATTAATTATAAAACCCAAATCATCATAAATATGAATCCTTTAAAGAAACCACATTTGTGTATGTATGGTTCACAATGAATCAAAAAACAGAAACACTTCTGGTGTCTTGTGATATTTATGGTGGAAAAATAGTATAAGAATAGTTGTCTCCAGAGGGATGGGGTTAAAGATTGACTGGGAAGAGGCATAAGGGAACTTTTGAAGGGTTATGGTAATGTTCTCTATTTTTGATATGGGATTATAAAGGTGCATACATTTGTCAAAATTTAGCAAAATACATTTAAGACTTGTATATTTCATTGTATATATATTTATTTATATTTTCACTGTATATATTTATCTTAAAAGAATAAAGCTAGTGAAATACTGAACTCTAGTTAATCATATGTATGCTGAAGTATTTAAGGGAAAACATACTAATGTCTACAAGTTACTCTGAAATGCATAAAAAAAAAAACAAGACCAATTAATGTATGGATGAATGGTAAAACAAGCATAGTAGAACATTAATGGTAGAATGTATCTGGTAAATATACAGGTATTTACTGTAAGGTTTTTTCTGCACGTTTGAAAGATTTATAATAAAATGTTAGGGATTAGCATGTTTGAATGACTTTAGTATGGAATGGTTTTTTTGAGAGAGAGTATGCTTGTGAGTGTGGGGGTTGGGGGTTAGGGCAGAGAGAGAGGGAGAGGGAGAATCTTAGGCAGGCTCAAAGCTCAGAGCCTGATGTGGGGCTTGGTCTCACGACCTGAGAAATTGAGAAACCTGAGAAATTGAGGGTCAGAAGCTCAACTGACTAAGCCACCCAGGAGGCCCTAGAATGATTTTCATACTCTTAATATGTGATGAATGGGGAATGAGTTAAAAGATTTTTCATGTTTCAAACATGCAGAGATGGATGAAGTATTAATAAATTAGCATGTTGTTTCTGTAATTAAAAATCCAAAGGAAGGGCACCTGGGTGGCTTAGTTGGCTAAGCACCTGAATGTCTGACTCTTGATTTCAGCTCAGGTCAGGATCTCAGGGTTGTGGGATCAAGCCCTGTGTTGGGCTCTGTCCTGGGCATGGAGCCTGCTTGGGATTCTCTCTCTCCCTTTGTCCCTCCAGAGCCCAACCCCAATTTTAAAAATTTAAGAAAACCCAAAGGAGGAAAAGTTAATTAATTTCAGGGTTAGATCTTCAGGTTAATCTCTCCCTATCTCCACAACTGTTTTTTGGGGGGGTTGGTTGTTAGAGTTGGGGGAGGGCTGTAATTCCCTTTATAAATGTTGAAACATGTAGAATTTGGCTTCCATTGTAATTAGAGAACAGAAATTACAATTCAATGTCAAGTTCTCAGACTGATGCTTTAAAAAATTATATAACTGCCTTTGAACTTGTAGTTATAACAATAGTTAATCAAGATCTAATGGAGACATTCATTCTTTTGGCTGCCTCCTCCCTCACCTCTTTGACAGACATTTTACTTATTTCACTCTTTGTCATCTCTAAAGGAGTTAAGAGCACAAAGAGTATATTTTGATTAAAAGCTGGAAAAGATATGGAGGCCTGTGTGAGGTTAAATGAGCCAAGGGATTCTCTAAGATGTCAGGGCAGCTGCAGCGACTAGGTTGGATGAGGCTAGGGGAAGAACTGAATAAGAAACAGATTTGAACTTGGAGAAGGTAGTCTAGAATGCCTGAAATAGAGTTAAGGTGGTGTTAGTATTTGAGGATGCTAAAATCAGGAATGATGATAGGAGTCGGGGTAGAATGGAAAATGGTGACTTAGGAACTGACATATGAGAAGAACTGGAAGGGGCATCCTAGAAGTTGGTGGGTTATAGCAAAGTAATTTAGAAGGTGGTATAAATAGTTGGACTTTAAATTAACGGGGTACACATTTTGTGTAGATTGTGGAACAATGGCTTGAAATGGTGCAAGGGCCTAAGGTGAAGACTACTTCTTTGCCCTTTCATAGTGAGTCTGGAAAAGGAAAGCAAAGGATTTGTTTCAGATTTTAGTTATCATAGAGACATAGAGGAAATGATTCTGCAAAATGTTGCTACTTAGCAGTTTAGGAATAAGTTTCACAGGAAACCCTTGATCCAAGATGGGTAGAAAAAAATTAGCAAAAAGTTGAGCTAATGTTTGAGTTCATTAGCCCACTGTATTCATTCTGTGGAAGCACAAATCCTAGAGACGACCAAAGTAAACAGAATATAGCAAGCACTCAATATTGTGACTTATTTCATTGCTAAATTTCCTTCCTATATTTATCTTAAGCTAACAGAGATTGTATTCCCTGACAAGAGATAATTGGTATGTGGTTGTATGCAGTCAAGAAACAAGTGGATATGCTTGATATCTTGCTACAAACTTAAGAGTCGAATTCTCTCAGAGGGCTGGGATGAGGATTAAAAGAAAGGTAATGTACATTATAGGCACTCTAATGATATTTCCATCCTTTTTTTTTTTTTAAAGATTCTATTTATTTATTTGATAGAAAGAGAGAGAGAGAGAGAGAGAGAACAAGCAGAGGGAGGGACAAAGGGAGAGGGAGAAGCAGGCTTCCCTGATGAGCAGGGAGCCCAATGCCAGGCTTGATCCCAGGAATCTGGGATCATGACCTGAACCGAAGGCAGATACTTAGCCAACTGGGCCACCCAGGTGCCTCTCCATCCTTCTCTTTAAAGGCCCTATTCAAAAAAGGCTGCTTTTTACCTGATGGATAGTTATAGTAGAAAGAAAATATCTAACATTTATGCAGTGCCCCCTTGTTCTCCCATATAGTGGGATGAAGCAGTGCTTTACATGCTTCATACCACTTAATGCAAACAGCAGTCCTTTGTAAGTACTTTTATTCCTGTTTATAGAGGATATTGAGGCTGAGACGTTAAGAAACCAGTGGTTAGAGAGCTAGGAAATGGTGGACCTGGGATTTGAACTCCAGCAGCCTGATGCTGGAGTCTTGAGCTGCAAATTCCCACACAGACAATAGATTCTCAGCTGATGGTCACATACTACAAAGGTGTCCTATTCTAGAACCCTCAGACCTCAGGAGGGTGTGGCCTAATTTAAGCAATCCCTAAGATCAGTGTCCTCTGGCCTTGAGCAGCCTCATTTGATTACCGCAGGGTACCATATAAACATTATCTTTTCCACTGTGCCTGATGTGAAAGAGGACGATGTGGCAGATGAAATTCTGGCTCAATTTCCCTAGAGACGGTTGGGAAAGCTTATTGGAAAACAAAAAACCCTAGGCTAGAATAATATCTTAACCAAAATTAAAAAAAAAAAAAAAGGGGGGGGCGCCTGGGTGGCTCAGTGGGTTAAAGCCTCTGCCTTCCGCTCAGGTCATGATCCCAGGTTGTTGGGATCGAGCCCCGCATCGGGCTCTCTGCTCAGTGGGGAGCCTGCTTCCTCCTCTCTCTGACTGCCTCTCTGCCTACTTGTGATCTCTGTCAAATAAATAAATAAAATCTTAAAAAAAAAAAAAAGAGTTCAATTTAAAGCCTTTCAAACTCAGTCTTTGAAATGGGATGTCCGACTATTGAAAATTGGTTCAAGTAGGCTCTATCCTCTTAATTGAATACTATGCAGCCACTACAAATATTTATAGAAATTAATCTTTCAATATATCAAATGGGGGGGAAAGGCAGGTTAGAAAACAGGATGGTTCTAGATTTATAAATCACCTATTCGTCATTTATTCCGTGAAAATTTCTGAATCCCTGCTTTGCTAAGGGATATGCTAAATGCTGGGAATAGAGACAAAAAGAAAAAGAATAGCACTCCCTATACCACTGGCAGGCAGAGAAATATCTCAGCAGTGGCCACTGTGTGAAGGACACGCAAAGGGGATGCATGGAGGATGCCAGATGAGCAGAGGGGATGTATCTTCTGGGTGCGGCGATGAGGGAGAATACTCCTTGGAGAAAGATCCCTTAGCAGAGCGTCTCAGAGAGAAAAACATGTTCAAAACACAAAAGTGATAGACGACCATAGATATGACTGAGGTTTGTACTGAAGTCACTAAAGTTATTTAACAAAAAGCTCAAGAAAGTTCAAAGTAGAAGTAATCTGTGCTGAGGTTTAATATACTAAAGGGTGGTGGGTGGCTCAGTGGGTTAAACCTCTGCCTTCCGCTCAGGTCATGATCTCAGGGTCCTGGGATCGACCCCAGCATCAGGCTCTCTGCTCGGCAGGGAGCCTGCTTTCCCCTCTCTCTCTCTGCCTGCTTGTGATCCCTGTCAAATAAATAAATAAAATCTTTAAAAAAAATAATAATAAAGGGTGGAACAACACAGCAAGGTCTTGACGACATGGGAAAATGGAAGTCTAGAATAAAAAGTGGCGGGGGCAAGGGAGAGGGTTCTGATTATGAACCTTAAAACTGAGGGAAAGAAGAACAAAGTTAGATGTTGGGGCAAAAGTGAGAACACAAGCCTGTTCACTGTGTTTCCATTAATATTAATATTTTCTGTAAGATAGAAAATAAGGTAATTTTGGTCAAATAGCAATGGTTGGGAGAGTAGGAGCTGATATTGATAGGGTACTCTGTGTGTGCCAGAAATTCAATATACAAAATTTCAATTAATCCTCAAAATCACCCTAAGAAGTTCTCATTATTAATCCCATTTAGTAGATAAGGAAACTGGGTTTCAGCAAGGCTTAAAGTTAATAAAACTTGAAGCCACAAAATTAGTAGGTACCAGAGCAGACATTAGAAGACAGATTAAGTCTTTGCTATACTAAATGTGTGGGTGGTGGGGAGAAAGGAGAGAAAGCTTTAATCACTGTGGATGATAATAGTGAGACCATAAAAATTATACTACTATGAAATGTCAGGTAACTTATGGGCTGGAGACAATTTACAACATCTTATATCATGGGAGGAATTTTGGATTTATTGAAGATGCTGTCAAAGTTACAGCATTATGGTAAAATTTATTTTAATTTTTGGTTCTCAAGCTTAAAAAAATACTTTATTGAGATGTAAATCATATACCGTACAATTTACCCTTTCAGCGCGTAGAACTTGGCAACTTTTAAGTGTAGTCATAGAGTTGTAAAACCATCACCACTACCTACTTTTATTTATTTATTTTTAACGATTTCATTTACTTATTTGACAGGGAGAGAGATCACAAGTAGGCAGAGAAGCCGGCAAAGAGAGAGGGGGAAGCAGACTCCCCACTGAGCAGGGAGCCCAATGTGGGGCCCGATCCCGGGACCCTGAGATCCTGATCCCAGCCAAAGGCAGAGGCTTAACAAACTGAGCCGCCCAGGTGCTCCACCACACCCTACTTTTAGAACATTCCTATTCCCCCAAAAAGAAATCCTGTATCTGTTAGCATTCATTCCCCACGCCCACCCTCTCCAAGAAAACCAGTAATCTAGTTTGTCTATGAATTTGATTCTAGGAATTTCACATAGATGGAATTATGTGGCCTTTTGTTTCTGGCTTTTTTCACTCAGCATACTGTTTTCACTCAGCATACTGTTATCCATATTGTAGCATACATTGGTTCTTCTTTTATTGTGGAATAATATTCCATTGTATGGATATAAGCTACTTTGTTTATCCATTCATTAGCTGATGGACATCTGGGATGTTTCTATTTTGGCAATTATGTATGATGCTGCTATGAACATTTGACCTTGTGTGGTCATATATTTTTATTTTTCCTTCATTTCATAAACCAAGAAGTAGAACTGCTGGGTCATATGATAACTCTATGTTTAACATTTTGAGAAAATGTCAATCTGTGTTCCAAATGTGGCTACATAATATTTCTTTTAAAGCCACAACTTGATTGTCTAGATAGCTTTGGAAAAGCACTGTCTCCCTATACTTTAGGGAACTAGTTATCCAAAATAATTAGTATTTGGCAGCAAATTCTGGGATTACCTTGAGGACTCAGTTTCCTGAGTGAAGAAAAATTGAGTATTTCCAAAAGACTTCATGAGCTACAGTGATTACAAGAGTAAATCTAGCACTGTCTGGCACACAGCAGGTGCTCAGGTTATGTGTGTAATTGACCTTCAAGTAGGGAACCAGAAGGAAGGGCAAAAAATAAACTCTAAGACGTGTTCATGACTGATAACCTTTTTTCCTTGATAATAAAGACTTGAAATTTTCTGCCTTTAAAAAAACAAGCGAAATATCACAACAAATGTTATATATAAATACATAAGAGAACAACCAAACCCAATTACATACACCACAGGTGGGGGTCATAAAGAAGAAATTAGACTCATCATTTGAGGAGATTTGCTGGCTCAACTGAGTATGTTCCCCACTGAGATTTCTTTATGTTTGTTTTAGCTCAAGCTAGCCATAAATAAACTTGAGTAGTATTCAAGAATATGCTACTAAAGAGTCTCTGGGAATGGCAGTACAGTCTGTGAATTTGGATTCTACCAAGCGAAGAGATAACCAGAATATCCTAGCAACCAAAAGGAAGAGAACAGTATGAAGACTGCAGCAGATGGCAAGATGCACATCAACATATCCCTCATCATCCAGAGGTAACCAGTGCAAATATTCTGGTATATCTTCTTTCACGTTTTTACCTACGCTATCCTAGGAAGGACTTGGTAGAAAATCTATATAAGCCTGATCCCCCTTAGCCTACGGTGTATAATGTTTTTTCCTTCCCATGATGTGATGGTCTTTGAGGGGTTCACTTGGTTGGGCTATAGCCCTTGATTATTCAGACACTAATCTAGGTGTTGCTGTGAAGGCATATTATAGAAGTGATTAAAGTTGATAATTCAGTAACTTCAGTATGGATGGGCAGGATTCAATCAGTATTAAGGCTTCAGAGCAGATCTGAGGCTTCCTTGAAGAAGAAATTCCGCCTGCAGTCAGCAACTTCAGCCCTTGCTGTAAAGTTCCAGCATGCCCTTCCCTATGGCCTGCCCCACAGTTTTGGACGTATCTAGCTGGCACACACAAATGTATAAACTAATTCCTTGGAATGAAATCCCCAGGCATTTCCAAGCATCGGTAACTATGTACTCCAATGTTAGACTGGAGGACAGGAAAATTCCCAGCACAGGCCAAGTGGAGACATTCCTTTCTCTCTAGGATCCTTAGGTTGACTTCAGTACTTTCAAATTTTTTACCTGTAGACACTGGGTAAGGAATACAAGTATAAAATGTTACTTGGGTGTTGTGGTAAACTAGGAATAGGACATAAGATTATGACTGATTTTTAGCCCATCCTAAAATTTCTATCTTATTGTATTGAGGACAGAGTCCAGAACAGGGATAAAACACTTAATCCTGGCAAATCCCAAAACATATGTGAAACTAGAAAAAAAGTTACTAATTATTTTATATAAATGATACTTGAGCCCACAGAGTAACAGTTTAAGGAAACTGGCAAATCTGTTACCACATTTGCGATTTAATGTGACTTTTTACAGTGGTGAAATCAATCCCTTAAATAGCAGAGTGAGTTACTGTCCTCTAACTGCTTATTCATTTTCTGTAAATTACCTTTCTATTAGGCAGCTTGATCAATAAACTGTATTTACACTATCTGTCATACACAGACCTCCACCCTAAGAAATGAAACATGATTTTTTTGCGGTGAATTTATTATAGCACTTACTTGAGGTCTCTGCTGAGAACTAAATTAATTCTATCCTTTAAAGGTCGATTCTTCTCAGGAATAGAGAACCATGTCTTTCTACCCATAATCACCAAGTTCTGTTTACCTAGAAAATCACATAAAAAGAATATTTGGGGAGTATATAGTTCCATATATTCATATACATACACACACACACACACACACAGATATGATTGTCATAGTGACATCTAGTGGATTTGCACTGAAAATAAAAATTTAAAACAGGCATACCAAAATTTACATTTATCACCCATTTCCTAAATATAGTAACTTTTCCCCCCTATGACGTTATCCAATTCACATCCAATATTTACTCAACTGCAATCATGTATAATAGTGAAGAGCCAAGATTCTGGGGCCAAGTGCTCAAGTTCAGTGTATTCAGCATCTACTGAACAAGTCATGGTAATCTTCTCTGTCTTACTTTCCTTATTTATAAAATGGAGATAACGGTAGTTCCTACTTCTAGGGTTACTGTGGGGATTGAAGACTTGTTTAACTGTTTGATATGATAGTATTATTCATATTTGTATACTTTGTAGGCATATTAATAGTCATACTTTTATTTTATTTTATTTTATTTTTATTTATTTATTTTTTTAAAGATTTTATTTATTTATTTGACAGAGATCACAAGTAGGCAGAGAGGCAGGCAGAGAGAGAGGAGGAGGAAGCAGGCTCCCTGCTGAGCAGAGAGCCCGATGCGGGGCTTGATCCCAGGACCCTGATCATGACCTGAGCCGAAGGCAGAGGCCCAACCCACCGAGCCACCCAGGCGCCCCTTTATTTTATTTTTTTAAAGATTTACTTATTTATTTATTTGACACAGAGAGAGAGAGAGAGAGAGAGAGAGAGATCACAAGCAGGCAGAGGGGCAGGCAGAGAGAGAGGGGGACTTAGGCACCCCCGCTAAGCAGAGAGCCCAATGAGGGGCTCGATCCCAGGACCCCGAGATCATGACTCGAGTTGAAGGCAGTGGCTTAACCCACTGAGCCACCAAGGTGCCCCTAACAGTCATACTTTTAAAGATAAGTGCTTAATATTCCACTCAGTTAAAAAGCTATAACACTTTCAATTGTGCTTCTTTCAAGTATAATGCTTCTATGGAAACTTTATACACATAGCTTCCATTTTTGGTTTAATTACTTAGGAAAAAAATCCTCGGAGTCAGATATCTGGATAAAGGAATATACCCATTTCTATAATTCTTGATATATTCTGACAGGCTAGCAAAAGAAGTACATGTGTCTGTTTCAAAGAATTATCATTTGCATGATTTTATTTAAAAATACGAACAGTTATAAAATACAAGTGGTACGACTAAGTGTTTTTCTGTATTTGGAAAGTTTTTTCCTCCAAGAATTAAAAACCCAATTATTCATGGTGCCCCTTATGTGATTTGCACTGCATTTTCAAAGACAGAGCTCTAGATGCTAGTAAAGAGATATCAAGTATCAAAAATAACAGAGCCATTAGGTGAGGAATTCTGGTGAGACAAATGGTACAGACCTGGCCTAACAATTAAGGTGGACATAAGTGAAGAGCATACAGAGACGTTTGGGGGAAATAGAAGAAAGGAAAAGAAAAAAGAAAAAAAGCCTTCAAAAAGAAAAAAAAATACCTTCAGTACCCTTCCATCCACTCATCCAACAAGTACTGTATTTACTGAACACTAGCAAACAGGCCAGACATTGGATGCTTTTCCTATGACTAGATCATACTTTGGATTCTAGAAAGTGGTTCATATCAATTCCTTAAGCTTCAAGCCCTTGCTATCTTGTCTCTACCACGGACCTAAGTCCCAGGTCCACAAACCTGTATCTGTCCTGTTAAAGTTATGCTGCATGTGCTTCTGGCTGACTTACCATTTCCCTTTTATTCTGCTATTCCTTCTCCTATGACCAAATACATGTCTCTTAGGTTTTAAACGAGTATCCCACCACCATATTCTTTTCCTTGGTTATCCTCTTCTCTCCAGCAGCTCAACTCATCTACTTCCCTGTATCTGCAATCCCCAAACCTCAAAATTAGCACTATTAACAACTGCACAATTGTCCACTCCTTTATTCTCCACCTCACCCAGGATTATTCAACTGTCATTAAATTTAGCATCTATGGGTTCATCCTGGATCCCTTCCTGCATCCCCTTCGCCTTCCTTATCTTCATACTGAGTATCATGGAACCGTTTTTTGGACTTCTCTCCTCTTCACTGCCCTCCTTCAGGCCCTATCCTATCCTGCAGGGACAATCGCAAAGGTCTCCTCTGATTTCTTTACCATGCTCTAATCTTCACCGAAACCTGAAGCTAGATGCTAATTCTGCCCAGTACCTCAACTGTACGTCTGCCCATATAAAATTTGAAAGAACCTTTTTTTTTTTAAGGGTATGACAAACCTTGGGAACTGCATACAAATGAGTGGTAAGGCAAAAAGTCCCAGATTAACATGGATAACTTTTCATTTAAATAAAAATCTTCACTGGTAAGCTTACTCAGCAAGATGTTTCCAAAACCTCAATCTCCTAAAAATCCCACATTACCTTCTACTGAGGAGGTTGTGGTCATTCTTTGGAAAAACTTGAATTCGTTCCTACAAGTTAGACAAACAGCGTTACTCAGAATATTATTCCGCGCGCTCCAGCTCTAAAGCGACCCACAGGCGCTGCGCTGGCGGGGTGGGGAGCGAGTGGAGTGGAGGGGCCTCTAGGACAGGGACTTTGTTCTGAGGCAGGGAGCCGCGGGGGGACATGTTCTCACCGGGCGGCAGGGGCAGACGGAAATCAATAACGTGGCCTCCCGGCTCCCGATGGCGGAAGGAAGCCCAGGTCCAGCTCTCGTCCTCTCGGGTGCCAAGTCCGTCCCCCTCCTCCCGCCGCAAGTGTCTGCGCGACCCCGCGCTAGCTCTTCCAAACCCAATCGACCCCCGGCCCGGCAGGTACCTGAGCGGGGGCCAGGGTAGGTCCCCGTTCTTGCCGATGCCCATGTTCTGGGAAACAGCGGCGATGCAGTTTAGCGTACGAACCATGACAGCAGCTGTAAACACCTCCTAGCTAGCTCGCACCCACCGTAGGCTCCCGGCCGCGCTTGGCGCGAAATTGCTGCCACCCCGCCTCCTCGGTCCCATTTGTGCAGCCGAGACTCCGCCCCCCGCCCCGGCGCACCCAAGGTCGTGACGTGCTCGCGTCCGCAGACGCCGGGGATCTGCGGCCACGGGCTCGCGCTCCGGGCTCGGACCTTCCTGGGTGGTGTTGCTCTGTATCGTGCGATGTCGGGCCGGAAACCTGCCTTTGGCCGTGCCGCTACCACCAGCCCAGCCCCTGCAGGGCAAGCGGTTTTGAGCAGATTCTTCCAGTCTACGGGAAGCCTGAAGTCCACCTCGTCCCCCACGGGTACAGCCGACAAGGCCGACCCTGACTCTGACTCCGCAGCGCCCCTAGCGTCCACTTTCCCGCCTCAGTTGCCGCCACACGTGGTGGGTTTGGCCTAGGACGGGGCGGGGCCGGCGGGAGATGGGGCGGGGCAAGATGGGCGGGTGCGGAAACCGTGCTTGTGGGTGGAGCGGGAGGAGGCGGGGATAATGCGCGAGAATCGGCGAGATGAGACGGCCGGAAAAGAGAGGGGCAGGGCTCTGAAAGGAGAAGGCGGGAAAAGTCGGGCTGGCCTCCATCCTCCGCGCAGTTCACGTTTTAGTTTCCTCTAGGAGTAATAGACTTGAGGCCAAGGTCTCGCGGATACTTAATGGCAGACTCGAAACAGGAGCTCAGGTCTCCGTACTTCCATTCTGATGAGGGTAGGGGCTTGTGGGCAAAGGATACATCTTTTAACCTCCATTTTACCTCCCCAGCCTTAAAAATAAAAAATCTGCATTGAAGGTTAAAGAGGAGCTTTATTTACCTTATTTGTATATACTTGGTTAAGTAACCGGACGTAAATTGCCGCTAAGTCTCTAGTTTTTAAGCATGCAACAGCAGTGCTCAATATTTCAAGCGAATAGGGTAAAAGCAGTCATATTGTACAGTTCCTCAGTGACTATACTTCTTGTGGCTGATTGTAAAGTTTGATACACAGTTTGGCTGGATTAGGTTTAAAGGAGTGCAGATGTGAATGGTTAGTCATTGAATCCTTCCTGTTGCTTACCACCGTTCACCTGAGTAAAATAGTTGGTTTTGTTTTTCCCAGGGACACTGCCAGCGGGGAAAGTCCAAGCTTGAGCCCTCCCCGAGGCTTCCTGATGCAGTATCTTCCTGATCTCAACACTTCCTGAGGATGTGTTGGGACGTCTGGGTGGCTCAGTCGGTAAAGCATCTGTCTTTAGCTCAGGTCATGATCCCAGGCTCCTGGGATCCAGTACTGCATTGGGCTCCTTGCTCAGCTGGAGCCTGCTTCTCCCTCTGCCTGCTGCTCCCCCTGCTTGTGCCCTCTCTCACTGACAAATAAATAAATAAAATTTTAAAAAAACCAAACAATAACAACAGCTGAGGATGTGGAAAGGGATTGCAGACTGACTTTTAGCCACCCTCCAATTTTTAATACAGATGACAGCCTAGCTACAAAGTCTTCATTTATATTTCTTTCAGAGTGAGTTCTCCTCTCCTGTTTTTGATTTTTTTTTAAAGATTGTATTTATTTGGCAGAGAGCACTTGGGGAGAGAACACACAAGCAGGGGGAGGGGTAGAGGAAGAAGCAGACTCCCCCACCCAGCAGGGAGCCCATTATGGGACTCCATCCCAGGACCTTGGGATCATGACCTGGGCTGAAGGCAGACACTTAACTGACTTGAACCATCCAGGTGCCCCTGTTTTTGATTTTTGATGATAGTCTACATTTCATGAATATACCAAGATTTTATTTTACACCTACTATGTAGCAGGTATTTTGTGAAGGACTTAATTTTTGACAGGATTCCTGCCAGTACATAGTTTATAGTCTTGTGGTATCTTCAGTGGTGAACATAAGCCAAGTTTGAACATGAAACAGTTAAATTATAATTAACACTGACGTTTCAAAAATGGTAGTGTCCTTTTGTTATGTATCTAATTTCACCTTTCCTGAATGGATATATTTTTTTAAAAGGTATTTTATTTAACATAGGTAAGTAGGGTGACTCAGGTTTTATAATCTGAGATAGGTGAAGGCTGATTGAGTAAAGAAAGGCATAAGCCTTGGTTCTAATTAATGCTAGCAGGGCTTGAAGTGCTGAGGCTCATGACTTCTGGTCTCCACATTGTCTTTCATAACAGTACGGAGAATATCTATATAGTTCTTTCCAAGTCTAAAGGTATGTGATTCCATAAGTAGTGGGATGGCAAGAACCTTGTTATTCAGAAGTGAAGCTTAAATTATTTCACATACATCAAGTTTTGAGATTAGAGATAACACATCATTTTCTAATATAGGTTGCAGAAGTTGGCAGCGGTAAAAAGAGACCGCTGGAGAGTGATGGGCCTGTTCAAAAGAAAGCAAAGAAAGTCCAAGAAAAGGAAGGAAGAAGTGATTCAATAAAGTTTGGGAATGCTGGTGAGTCCTATGGTGATGATTGTTTGTTCTCACTAGTTGTGGCACAGATACTGTATTCTCCAGAGAGCAGAGGAAGTTATTGGAGAGTTGTGCCATTTTTTTCCTTTATGGACAAAGGTCTCCATTGTGGTTGAGTAGAGCGGCCCCTCCATAAGTGGTGGTTTGAGTAGGGCTTTGGGGGTGTGGAGGTAGAGCTGGAGTTCTGCAATTTGCCTATAGTTCTCCCCATTTTCTCTTTTACTTCTCTTAGCTAATTTTTGTCCTGATTATAAAAGTAAAGCATTCTTGTTATAAAAATTTCAAATAATACAAATATGTAAAGGGTAGACAATGAAAGACCTCATCATTCTTCTCTTTTAGTGAGACCTTGTGGTAATTTTAGGGGGCTACTGAATATTTTTCCAGGTTTCTCTTTTTATACACATCTACATGTACACACGAAGACCCACAAATTACTAAGTAATAATACAGTTGGCCCTTGAACAACAAGGAGATAAGGGGCGCTGATGCCCTGCACAGTTGAAAATCCATGTAGAACTTTTTGACTCCCCCAGAACTTAACTACTAATAACCTACCATTGATAGGAAACCCTACTGATAACATAAACAGTCGATTAAAACATATTTTATATGTAATATATATTGCATACCATATTTTTACAATGAAGTAAGCTAAAGGAAAGAAAATGTTAAGAAAATCATAAGGAAGAGAAAATACATTTATAGTAGTGTACTGTATTTATTGAAAAAATCCTCAAGTAAGTGAACCCATGTAGTTTAAACAATATTGTTTAAGTTCAACTGTATTTTGTAAATTGTATTATACTATATGTACTAATTTGCAGCTATCATTTTCCACTTAACAGAACATTTTGAACAATTTTCAATGTCAGGTTATGTAAATCTACCCTGTCCTTTTTTTAACATGGAAGTGCTCTTTCTGTATGCCAAAAGTCTTTGGATAAAATCACCATTCCTGAGATTGTTGACTTCTAGGGGTGGTGTTGGATTTATAGATGATTAAGCACTATTTCTTTAGTTGTTGACCTCAGAGGATTTGTTATAAAGTTTAACAGAAAATCCTTCTTTCTTCATTATCCACAGAAAACTAGGCAGAGAATGAGATTAAAAAAAAAAGCAAAAAAAAAAAAGTCTCAGTTCAGTGGATCAAGCATGTAAGATATCTTTCCTTCCCCAAAAGGTGAAATTTAGGGTCAACATGAAAGCCTTAGTATGAAATAACTATAGAAATGGAGATGTATACTTAAAGAGAATGATAAATCTTTTCTGTTGTCAACAAGGCAATTGACTTAGAATGTTTTGAAACAAGACTTTTTATGACTTGTTAAAAATGGTGCTCAAAAAAAGGGAAAGCATCTGCCAGTCCAGCTCCTTTATTTGTTTTCCAGTCTTATGTCTCCTTGTGCTTCATTTTGGATCAGTTCTCCTGCTATGTTTTCAAATTCCATAATCTTTTCTTTTGTGGTGTCTAATTTGCCATATGTCTCATTCAGTAAAATGTTAATCTCAGATAGGTACATTTAATCTTTAGAAGTTCTATTTTGTTCTTTTAAAAGAAATCACCTTTTTCTCTCTGTGAAACATAGTGAAAAGCTGTTACCAAAACCAAACAGAGCTCCAAAACCCAAATCTTCCATTTTGCTTCTCTTTATATTCATGTTTTTCTTTACCTTTTTGATTATATGAAATGTATTTATAATACGTTTTCATGTCCATATCTGGTAATTCTGTTATCTCTGTCATTTCTGGGTCTGTATCCCTTAATTATTATTTCCTGCTTTTTTTCACGTTTAGTAAGTAATTGTTTGGATCACAGATATTTTGAATTCTGTGTTATCATGTGTTGGGTTTGGGATTTCTTTAAAGAATGTTGGACTTCATTCTGGCATGCAGTTAAATTCTTTGTGGTTCAGTTTGATCTTTTTAAGGATTGTTTTTAAATTTTGGAAGAGAAGGCTTAGAGTAGTTCTGTTCCTAAAGTTTGATTTTTCTAGAGTTGGGAAGGAATACATAGTAGCAGTAGCATATTATATAGTATTTCTACCACATTTAAAAAATGGACATTAATAACCTTTAGGACATAAGTAATTAAAAAAAAGAGAACATAGGTAATAGTAAAATGTAGTAACAGTTTTAAAAAATGATGAGGTTTGATTATTTATTACCTTTGTTTTTAATACCTTTGTTTATTTAATTGTAAGTTGACATAATCTAATTTGTAATCTAATTTGTAATTTGTAATCATGACTGTGTTTGACAGTTGCCTCAGAAAATTCTTGAAGGTTTAACAGTTGCCTCTGGTTAGCCAATATCAACTGGCTTCATTAAGCACACCACTGGTCTTTCTTTGTGAGCTAGTTTGAGTTTCCATATAGCTTGAGTCTCCAAGGATGAACACCCTGAGAGTCAGACAGAAGTTGTATTGACTTTTAAGATCTAGCTTCAGAAGTTAACATGCCTTACTCTGTTGGTTGAGTTAGTTAAGAAGGCCTGCCTTTGTTCAAGGGAAGTGACCTTTGATCCCACCTCTCAACGCAGGAGCATCAGCATCACGTTGTAGGAAGAGCAAATGAGACAGGGTTTATATACTTGGCCCTCCTTAATAAATAAAATCTACATGGGTCAGAATGCAGAGTTGACTTTTTATGTTATTAATATTCTTATTTGAGTTACAGATAAACATAATATGGAACTCTATCTCAGAAGTATTTTGATAAATATAAATATTCACTATCTTAATGCTTAATAGTATATGTGCTACTGAAGTGAGTACAATCATAATGCTGTATAAATAAATTCAGACTTTTATGAGTACAACCCCAAGACTGGAAAACCACCCCCATCCCAGGAAGGTTTTTTAATATCCATAGGAGGGAAGTCCTTGTATAATATACACACTTACAGTATACTTCTGAAGAGTGATTCAAGTATATATTTTGAAAAGTGGAGAGTAATTTGAAAGAGATTCAAATATACATTATTCCAGCTACAAGATTAGTAGAAGACAAGGTACAATTTACCTGTGAAAAGAGGTTTAAATATAAATAAGCATATATAGCTAAATATAAATATGAGAAGTTTTAAACTCATAGGAATGGACCAAACACAATTCTTGCTCTCAGAGTTTTTTTTTTTGTTTGTTTGTTTGTTTTGTTTTGTTTTGCTTTAATAGGAAAGGTAAGAGGTTATAAATGCAGTCCCTTTTTCATTATATTTAGAAGTGGCTACCTAGTAGTATTACCCTAAAGGGAAAAATAATGTATTCTGGCATATAGTAGATAGTAGACAGTAAATGATAGTTTTCTTTCTTTTATGGATTGCTTGCTTAAGAAGAACTGCCAGTTGGCAGCCTGGGATAAGTGCTATGGAGAAATGTGATCTTATTATAGGAACACAGACAAAAGATGATTTTAAGCTAAGGGAGTTAGCAGGAGTTTCATGGAAAAGTAATTTTGAGAGGGATCTTGAAGAATGGATGAGTATCATTTTGACATGAAAATTGGGGTTAAGGGCCTTCAGGGAGAAAGCATAGCATGAGTAAAGCTGTGGAGGTGGGATAGTAGGCATGTTATGGCAGGGTGATGATCTGCCTTCCTTGGAGAACTCTGGGGTCAGTATCTCTAAGTCTTTCCCATTAAGCTGATCAGTTTCCCTGGTCTGGAATCTTCCCGGCTCTTGGCTGGAGCGGGGAGCTCTGGCTGCCTGTGTTCTAGAGCTCATGAGGAAAAGGCTGGGTTTCTTAGCCTACGGTAAGCCCCTATTTCCCGTTATTCCTCTGGCACAGGCACAGTTCTCCCATCTCACCTGTGCCTGTTCTACCTCTTCCAGAGTAACCTCCAGTTCTCTGCTGACGTGGAGAAGCACAGCTGCCCTTGAGCTTGGAGTAGGCTAGAGGTCGAGGGATCAACTTGCTTTGAACCAGTCTTCTTTATTTTAGAATCTCCCTTTAGTACATGCTACTGCTGCCCTGATTCCTGAGCCTTAAGCATTTTATGTAGCAAATGGTATTGGTTCTTGGTTTTCTTCACTAGTGGTTTAGTATTTAGCTTTCAGGCATGCTAAATTGGTTATTATTCATCTATTTTTCCTTCTCGTTTCAGATTTTTTTTTATTTGTACCTGTCACTTCACAAAGAGAAAAGTCTCTGTCCTTATGTGCTTATATCTTAAAAAAAAAAAAAAAAAAAAGAAAGAAAGAAAAAAAAAACACAAAACCCTACTGTAGTTTGTAATGGGGTTTCAGGACCAAGTGAAATGACATGTATGTTTCAGTATGCTATCTTTACCCTAAACCTAAATGTTTATCTCCTTGTCACATTTTAGTTAGATTCATTGCTTTAGTGAGAAGCTCCCTCTTTAAAAAGAGGTTTTAATACAACTCTAAAAAGAAGCAGTGGCTTCTTTACTCAGAAAAATACTCACACCAACACAGTTTTGTATGTAATTTTCAGAAGCGTACATTCCTTCCCACAAAATCCGGGTTCATGAACTCCCCCTTCATCATACCCTGGTTATGAACTGACATAATGAGAACAAAATACTATTGTTATATTTTCTTCTGATTTGCTAACTAAGAGCCAAAGAAATGTCTGAGGACCAAGAATGTTTTAAAGTCTCTGGAAAAATTGAAAGAATTCTGCTGCGATTCCGCCCCTCCTCGATATAGAGTCCAGACAGAACCTCTTCAGGAGAGATTGGCAGTTCTGCCAAAATGTACTGATTTTGACGATATCAATCATCTACGTGCAAAGAAGGCAGTTTCTTGTGAAGACTCCAAATCTCGTATTAGTCAAAAGGTATGTGTTCTGTAGATGAATATCCAGGTACTCAAATCAGTAGGTTCCAAAGTGCCGTAAGTTTCTGTGGGTTCATACAAGCCAGTTGTTCCCAAACTTGGCTAATCATCCAGATTAGCTTTGGGAGCTTTTGCATTATAGCTTATTTATTTTTTAAGACTGCGGAGATTCTGATTACTATGTATTGAGGAGGGAAGAATTGGTTTGTATTAAAACAGACCCCCCCCCCCAAAAAAAAAAAAAAAAACCCCCAAAGGGGTTTTGATGTAAAGCCTGGGGGGAGGAATCCTTGGGTGGGGGGAAATAAATTCTTAAAAAAAAAAAAATTTTTTTTTAAGATTTTATTTATTTGACAGAGAGAGAGAGAGATCACAAGTAGGCGGAGAGGCAGGCAGAGAGAGAAAGAGAGGAGGAAGTAGGCTCCCCACTGAGCAGAGAGGCTCGATCCCAGGACCCTGGGATCATGACCTGAGCTGAAGGCAGAGGCTTTAACCCACTGAGCCACCTAGGTGCCCCGGCTTGGGGAGATTCTTAATAATGAGTACAAGGACAAGTTTTCTAATCCTTATAGTTATCATGATGGAAAATCTTAGGCAACATATATGGGTTTTGGGGTTTTTAGTTGAAAACTTGGTGATATAAAGTAAATTCAAAGGCAAACCAAATATATATGGCTCTTTACTTCCACTGTTAAATGATAAATCAATGTTTGCAACATTGCAAAATCAGAGAATTGAACTTTTGCTCTGTCACTAACATCCACAATTCAGAGCAGTGGTTTTCAGTCCAGCTTTAAATGAGAATCACCTGGAGAACTTAAAAAAAATACTGGTAACAAAAACCTTTCTTCAGAATCATACTGGTCTTTGCTAAGAACTGAGTATGGATATTGTTTAAAAGTTCTCATTTTAATGTGTAGTCATGGTGGTTGAGAGCTATTGAATTAAAGAAATAGTTCCTTTTTTTCCCCTTTGAGTCATTTAAATGAAAAGCTATAGATTCTTAAAAAGCTATGGACTGAAAGCAATGACTTCTTTACTCAGAAAAATACTCACACCAACACAATTTTATACGTAATTTTCAGAAGTTTACAATCCTTCCATCTGGGTTCATGAACTCCCTCTTCATCCAAGCTGAGATCCACTGCTTTATCATTGGTCATCAGGAAAAAAGATGTTTTTGTTTTATTTTTAATCTGTTTCAATACTTAGAAGCAGTTCACCTGAGTGTAGTGGTCATAAAAATAGAGATATCAAAGTGTTGTCTATTAAAGCTCATTTTATTAATTGGAGAATTTACTCTAGGGCTTGATTAGAGCTTATTTACCATTACTTTATACGTAAAATGACCACGTTAGTATTTCTGATTCATAGCACATTAGCAGTCACCAGTTAGAAGGGACACCTAGAAGTGTAGTACATGGATGTCATTGTAGGACATAGTTGTTTGATGGCATGGAAGGACACAGATGAGTGGTAGAAGCTTCTAAGTGAAGTTAAATGGCCAGGGTTTAGGGGCTAGGACCATTAGTGTGGGAGTCCACAACCCCATAAGTCTTGTTAGGTTTTGAAATTCCCATTTTAACATTCTGGGAAGTATTTCCACCCAAATGGTTAAAAAAAAAAAAGTTGCTTAATACTCAAGTATTCAGATTGACTTCTTAGTATAAAAGTTTTTTTCTCCATGCCTATTCTCATTCCATATGTGAATAAAGCATAAAGTTAAGAACTTTTTTTCCCTAGGAAATATATTTTCTTCAAGTATGGATTAGGTGTTACAATATGTAGTATTCCTGGATTTTACATAAAAGTCATGGAAACAAATGAGAGAATCCATCAAAGTTAAAAGTAAATGCATTCTCTTTCTGATATATTGACCTACTCTTCTGTTGCCACACCTCCCCACACTTCCCCACCTCACTGCTGAGATTTGGAGTTTTGCTGGGCTGCACTATTCAGATAATTTACATCTCTGCCTCCTATTTCAGCTAAGCCACATTTTTAAATGCAGCTGTAAAGTACATGTTGCTGGACTTTCTCTTGGAACAAGGTCCTCTCACTTGGCCATATAGGGCATTTCTTTTTTTCTCTTCCCTTCCCCTGCTGATCACCAGTCTTTATTACTATTATTTTTTAAGATTTATTTGTTTGAGTCAGTGAGGAGGGGGCAGAGGGAGAGGCAAAGAGTGAATCTGAAGCAGACTTCCTGTTCTGGGCAGGGCTCCATCCCAGACCCTGAGATCATGACCTGAGCCAAAATCAAGAGTCAGACACTTAACCAACAGAGCCACCCAGGTGCCCTGATAATTAGTCTCTTAAAGAATATTTATTTATTTTTTTAGTAATCTCTACACTCAGCGTGGTGTTCAAACCCATGATCATGAGACCAAGAGTTGCATAGTTTTCTGACTGAGCCAGCCAGACGCTAGTCTTTTATGCCATATATATATATATATATATATATATATATAATTTTTTTTTTAAGATTTTATATTTTGTTTGATAGAGCAAGCCAGAGAGCACAAATGGGTGGGGTTAAGGCAAAGAGAGAGGGAGAAGCAGACTCCCTGTGGATCAAGGAGCTCCACTCGGGCTCTATCCCAGGACCCTGGGATCATGACCTGAGCTTTCGGCAGGTGCTTAACTGACTAAGCCACCCAGGTGCCCCTTTTAGGCCATGTTTTTAATTCCAGGCGTAGCTGATAAATTTTTAGATGATAGCAGTGATACAGTGACAGCCAGAAGTCAGATTTAGCTTACAAATTTGTCTCATTTTACCTTTTGTATTTATTTATAAGAAGCAAGGAATTTGCCCTAAGCTCTAAAGTTAGTTAGAGTTAGTTAATGGTTTTCACACGTGAAGGGAAGGCTAGCAGGAATACAGATGTTGAAAGTGACCATGCTTTATACTTCCCAAAAGCTCTCTGTCATATCTCTTTACCAAAAAAACAAAATCATGCTTCTTTCTTGTGGTCAAGATTTATGGAATGTACTATCTTTTGGCCTGTGCTTGGAAATTTGAAACATTCTTTAGCTGATGGTATGCTTATTGAAGGTGGTTTACCGACTGTTGAGAGACATTCATCCCTCCTCACTTTTTGTGCCTTACACATCTAGGAATAAGTAAGGAAAAGAAAAATGTTAATTATGATAGATTTAATGAAATAAAATTTAAAAAGAGGTGTATAGAACTTTAAAATGTTTAGGTTTTTAAAATTTGCTTAAATATGCAGTAGTTTAGTTTTTTTTTTTTTTTTTTTTTAAGTCTCTTACTCTGAAAAAAAATTTCAAACCTGTGAAAAAGTTTATCTGAATATACTGCGCACTCCTGTAAACTTTAACTTAGATTCACCAGTTGTTAGGTTTGCACCAAATTTGCATTCTCGGTCTTTCTGAAAACTATTATTATGGTTAATACTTTCTAAACTGTAAAAATCTTTCCATTGCCAGGATAAGACGCTTTCTGATCTCAGTCCTTTTGGATCATTACACACGGGTAATGACAATTCACTGAAAACTTCTGATCCTAAGCCATCTAACAAACGGTCAAAAAGCATTTACACACCTTTAGAATTACAATACATAGAACTGAAACAACAGCAGAAAGATGCAATTTTGTGTGTGGAATGTGGATATAAATATAGATTCTTTGGGGAAGATGCAGAGGTAAGTTATTTTTTTCAAATGCTCTTTCATGTTTTTCTTGTACAGCCTTAAGTATTTTCTGATATTTTTGTTTCATTTTCTGACTTTGTAAGAGAGCCAGTGTGATCAGTTGCCTTTTAAAATACTGTCAAAGTCAAAACTGAAAATAAACACAGGTGAACTTGGGGGAGTTCTAGGCCAGTGGGGGAGGACCAAAGGGACCCTTTTTGAAATTTTATGCCTTTTCTCCATGTGCTCGTCCAATAATTTCCATCCACTGTGAGGTGATTGGATGAATCAGATAGTGAATGAACCATAGTCCTGTGAGTATTTAATGTTTCCTGATGCAGACTCAAGCAAGAAAACATTTTGAGATGGCCCGTTTACTCTTTTTTTTTTTTTTTTAAGTTTTTGTTTATTTATTTGACAGAGATCACAAGTAGGCAGAGAGGCAGGCAGAGAGAGAGGAGGAAGCAGGCTCCCTGCTAAGCAGAGAGCCTGATGCGGGGTTCGATCCCAGGACCCTGGGATCATGACCCGAACCAAAGGCAGAGGCTTTAACCCACTGGGCCACCCAGGCGCCCCCGGCCCATTTACTCTTAAAAATTTTGATAGCCTGGAACGTGGTTATGTCTCAGGGGAAGAGCACATTAAGTGCCAGGCACCTGCAGAAGGTGTTTGAAGTCTTATAGTTTCTTTTTAGGTCAGTCATCTTGCTCTGTTAGTCCAAGTTGATTCTGTATTTAATTTTGAGGATTTGAAGTAGGCCGAAGTTAAGGTTAGAAGTGAATTTGAGCATTTTGTGGGCAAGTTTAAGGAAAGCATTGCTGATGATGGTCTGTTGGAGTCAGGCATGGTTGTGATGATTCCACAACTTCAGATCTGTATCAGATATCAGACATTATGGGAGAGCGATGAGGTGTCACAGCCAACGTCTGTCTCATGGACAGGAAGTGAAGACTTAGCCAACTTTTCTTCCAGTTTTTAAAATCCTGTTGTGGGTCTGAAAGCGGTGGTCTTTAGTTGAGGTGGCTGTTTGCTGTTATGAAGTTAGACTTTGAAGCAGAGTCTAACTGAGAACGGGGACAGCGTGTTCCCTGAGGACAGGGACAGATACATAGTTGGCATTGTATAGGTAAAGGGGTGAAAGAAAATGTCATTCTCTGCCCTTCTTTCCAGGTCAAGTGGTAAGTTCAGCCTTACCACAGTAAAGGCTAATGTCTTCTGGCCCTGCAGTGAGGAACTAATACAGTTCAGAGTTGGGTGGGGCAGGGGAGTGACAATGTTGGAATGAGAGTTCCATGACTCCAGTGGTCAATATCTGAGCTTCTGAGCTTTCTAGAAGGTAGTGGGGAGTCAGGTGGTGGTGCTTGGTTCTGCATTCCTATCCTTTATTATGTATCGTACATTAGCTAACCAGACCAGGTGGTTCTCTTCTCACTTCCTCAAAGATGCCGTCTGTCCAAGTAGCTTCAGAATTTATGTAAGGTCCTCATTTTCAGTGTTTGGTTGCTTTGTTGCAAATTCTTTCTCTTAGAGTCTCACACTCTGTGAATTGACTAGTCCTTGTGCAGGGAGAGCTCAGTACTTTAAGGTTTTGCTAGATCTAGGGGCATAGAAGACTTGTCCTGTTTTTCCCTGTCATTTATAGGTACAGATGTTGGCCCTGAGGTTAGGCTTTGGGAACTGCCAAAAATCTATTAAACCATAGGCTTCTATATGGGAAATGTCTTCTAAACTTTTTATTGGTATATACCACACAGATAGAGAAGTGTGCAGATCGTAGGTGTATACCTTGATGGATTTTTAGCAAAGTGAGCAAACACCACACAGGGACTCTTGAAAGAGAAATTTACTGATAACTCTCTTTTTAAATTTTTTAGATTGCAGCCCGGGAGCTCAATATTTATTGTCATTTAGATCACAACTTCATGACAGCAAGCATACCTACTCACAGACTGTTTGTTCATGTACGCCGCCTCGTGGCAAAGGGATATAAGGTCAGCTTTGGCTTTGGCTTTGGCTTGCACAAACGGGATTGGAATCCCTTCCAGAGAGTGAAATCATGTTCTGTAAGGTGGTAGATTGTAATTGGAATTCGGCATTTGGGAAATGAAATTGTGTCACAATTAATGGTGGTATATCTTCATCAGTTTCTAATGTACTAGAATTTTAAGGTAAATTTAAAAAACCTCTGTGATAGAGACTGTTTCTTAGTGACTTATCCACACTTGCAAACTCTTGTGGTGCTTATTACTAAAGCCCTGCATCTGGACATTGTGGACAAATGTGGTTATTTTACATGTTTCAGAATTAACCTTTTGAAGTCTACAAATCTGTTTCTTTAAAACAATTTCCATCAGGTTTGATATTCAGTGTTTATTTTTATTGAAGGTGGGAGTTGTGAAGCAGACGGAAACTGCAGCATTAAAGGCGGTCGGGGACAACAGAAGTTCACTGTTTTCCCGGAAACTGACTGCTCTTTATACGAAATCTACACTCATTGGAGAAGATATCCTTTTTGAGTAGTTTTTCTCGTAACTGTTACAGAGTCTATGTTTTTATTTATTTATTTATTTATTTATTTATTTATTTTATTTATTAACATATAATGTATTATTTGCCTCAGGGGTACAGGTCTGTGAATCATCAGGCTTACACATTTCACAGCACTCACCATAGCACATACCCTCCCCAGTGTCCATCACCCAGCCACCCCATCCCTCCGCCTGCCATCCCCAAAGTCTTTGTTTTAAATAACATTTTTATTGAACTGTTCTTGAACTATTCTGATGAGATGAGGCATTCTAGTTACCTTGCCATTTGATTAGTGTGTTAGTGAACAGGGAGAGTTGGTAGGGGTTGGGAACAAGCATTTTCAAATGGCAGTTGTGAAAAGAGAGTCTTACTTTAAGAACAAAAGAAGAGAGCCTGGTGATAGCAGGTTGGTAGCTGATTTGAGCTGCACCTTCCCTAGACATCCCTTCCCTGGTTAGGTGCTTAGGGCCTATAGGCTCCTCTGAATCTTCCTGAGGTAAGACCTAACAAGACAGCTTATTAACTTCAGAATGTGAGAAGAATACTACAAAGTTAGCACAGATTTGACTGCCTATAAAGGATAATAGGTGGGCCATCCTCACTAATTATGAGCTTCATAAAAGTTTTATTTTATTTATTTTTTACTTTTTTTAGAAAGAGTGCTGGGGGGAGTGACAGGAGAGAGGGAATCTTAAGCAGACTACGTGCTAAGCAGGGAGCGCAATGTGGGGCTCGGTCTCATGACCCTGAGATCGTGACCTGAGCTGGATCGTGACCGACCAAGAGTTGGATGCTTAACTGACTGTGCCACCCAGGTGCCCCCCAAATTTTGTTATTTTTGATTGTAGGTGAAGCTTTCTCACTTTGTAAGAATCCTCAGTGTGCACGGTGATTGCCCCCCCCCCCAATTTTATGGTCGTTCATAAATTCAAATGAATTACATGAAGCAAAATGATTCTAATGGCAAAATGTAAAACTCTATTTTTTAGAAACCAGAGGCACCTGTGTGGCTTAGTCGTTTAAGTGTTTGACTCTTGATTTAGGCTCATGATCTCAGGGTTGTGAGATCGAGCCCTTCATCAGGCCGACTGCTGGCTGTGGAGCCTCCTTCAGATTCTTTCTCTCCATTTGTTTCTGCTCCTCATCACCTCTAAAAAAATAAAAAATAAAAATAAACCAAATAACTGTATATGAAATGGGACAAAGATGCATTTTAAAATGTGTTTCCTATGTGATGGGATCAGGTCTCGATAAAAATATAGAGAATAAGTCTTAGAAGTTACTGTGTGAAAGCAGTATTTCTTTTATGGTTTTTTACAAACCTGCCTATTAAGAGACTTGCTTAGCTTCTACCAAAATTACAAAGACTATTTTGTTCCATTAATATCATGGATAGAAAGAGCTATTACTGCGTAGACCCCAAACTGTTAACAGTTCTCTGTGGTTCTAAGCTGATCAGGCTGTAATAACCTGATAATTTTATCGCTTCTTTTGCTCAACTTGAGTCTTATTGAAGTCTGCTCCTAAAACAGTACACCTCCCTGCTTCTCTTTTGCTGTTGCTACAGCTCCTACCTGCTGATGTCACAGTTGGTTGTTTTCAGATTGACTTCTGAAAATGACCCAAATCAGCATTTATCCCTGAGAAGTTAATTAACGGACTCATTGCATATACATACATGCATACACACATTATGTTTCTCTTTTCTTCTTTGGTTTTCTTTTTTCATGTCTTTTAAAAATTCGATTGCTTTTTCTGAGAGCTTTAGGCACTTTAAAGGAGGAAAGTAATTTACACTATTTTAGTGTATTCATGCTTTGACTTGTGGAATTAAGCATTATGGGATTGTTAAGGATTCAGGTCTTAGCATTATTCAAGTAAAAAAGCAGATTATGATTTCAGCTTCCATGAGGGTACTCTCGTAGGCCTTTTGGGAGGTGAGAAGACAGTAGTTGTCTTTCCTTACAAGCCTCTTATCTTAGAGAAGATAAGGCCTGTAACTATGATCAGAGTAAATCAGAAGAATGAAGGCTGTATGGAAGATTTTGCACAGAGCAAAAATGTCTGGGAAAGTGAACCATTATTTTAAAGGAGAAAGCAGATAATGGGAATGTGGCATATAATTTTCTTTAATGATTATTACATGTGAACCCTTTAGTCAAGCTGGATGATGCTGTAAATGTCGATGAGATAATCACTGATACTTCTACCAGCTTTCTTTTGTGTATCTGTGAAAATAAGGAAAATGTAAAGGACAGAAAAAAAGGGAACATTTTTATTGGAATCGTGGTAAGTACTTTGTAGGTAAGGACGAATGATAGATGTTCTTGGTATGTGTCTCTGTGAGTACTCATGTATGGCTTACAGTGAGACTGTCTGATGAAATGTGCCCTCAAGTAGGTGTACTATGAAGACATTTTCCTTATAATTTTATATGTTAAATCACTAGTTAAGATTTTCTCATGTGGCTACTTGGCACTCTGCGCTCTGGAGACATCCAGGTAGTTTCTGTCCATGTGCTCTAGGAGTTTGGGTTCAGGAGGGACACAGTGATGGGCATGGGGTATGGATAAGATAGAGCAGAAGAAAACACTAAGCCGACACATGGCATGGTAGTAAAGGGTTTTATAAATTTCCTCTAGGGTTTTAAAATTGAAATAGTGATGGGATTGTTGTATGTCGATTTGGAGGAAAGGGAATAGTTGGGGGAAATGATTCTTGGTGAATACAAAACTCCATGTTTAATTAACATTAAGAGTACTTATTGTCATTCTTCTAGAGAAATATAATTTGTGAATCATAGTTTTATTGATTTTTTCCCTCTAGCAATTTGTGAATAAATTTGCCCATTTACAGACCTACCTGAACTCTGCTCAGAACCTTAAACTTTTTAATGCCCTTCAGAGCTGTTACTCCCATGTTCTGTTGTAGGTGAAGCCAAAGTAGGACTCCTTGCCTAAGTAGTAACTCATTCTTTTTGTTTTTTCTAACTTTTACAGTCAGCTGTAATATCAACAAAAATTCTTACAACCCAGATGTCTCCAAAGTACTTTTTAATACCTTATTCTGGTTGGATAACTCTTTGCTAACTTGACGTTTGCTTAGCCAATAAACCTTTGTTTCAGGGAGTTAGCATTACTGTTGGGTGGCTCTAAATGATTTTTTTTTCTTACCCTTGAGAAGTACTTTTTATGTAGCCACAGGCAAATTGGATCTATTTACAAACAGTAAGATTATTTGTTTTTAAGCTTTAACATGTAAAACGTGCTATTTTATATTTACCCTCAACTCAGTCTAAAGAACAGAGCAGATAGTATACAATTCCTCCTTAGTGCTTGCTGCCAGTGTTAATGATTGTGTATGAATTGGGATGTGAGAGAGAAATGCCTCTTCTGTGTTGTCCTATCCTTGAACTCAGTGACCACTTTTGGGCTGATGACATCAAGGCTCTGGGTCGAGGCTGCGCCTCTCTCCTGAGCTCCAGCTTCCTGCATTGAACTTTATGCTGGGTATGGCACTCAGGATTTGTCTTCACTCCTCAAAATCAGTGTGGCTGCAATGGATCTCATCTTTTTTTATTCCCTCAGGACTGTTCTTTGCTGGGTCCGTATTGTGATGAGTGTCACGTGTTCCTCTTTTACTACCTACGAGTTATCTGCTGGATAGTGGCAGGGTAAAATCAAAGGTTTAAATGTTGATAGTACTACTGCAATAGGGCCCTTGACCTTCACTTTGGGCAGCGCACAGCTTTATACAGACTGACTTTGGATTTCTTAGTGTCAGGTATCACATCATAATAAATGTTGCAAGCATTCTAATGTACACCATTTCTCTGATTTAAAAAAGGCAAAGGGGAATTAGGCTGATAAATTTGTTACTTGAACTTCTGTAGCTAGCTTTTGTAAATGTTTGATTTGTAGATTGGGAGATAAATTTACTTATGTATACTAATATACTTATAGTCCAGCTATCTGGGCACTAGAGAAGCCCTCTGGCCTAGAATTAAGGAAGTTCCTTGAGCCAAAAATGAGGGACTTCAAAAACTTATAAAATATTCAAAAGAAAAAAAATCATAAAACAGAGTACATAGTTGTAGTAATTATAGTAATGTGAGACAGCCACACTTAGGTCAGAAAATAGAATACTGTGTAGCGAAGGGCCCCATCCCTTCAGCAGAGGGAATTTTATTTTTTATTTTATTTTATTTTTTTTAAGATTTTTATTTATTGATTTGACAGAGAGAGATCTCAAGTGGGCAGAGAGGCAGGCAGAGAGAGAGGGGGAAGCAGGCTTCCCGCTGAGCAGAGAGCCCGATGTGGGGCTAGATCCCAGGACCCTGAGATCATGACCCAAGCCGAAGGCAGAGGCTTAACCCACTGAGCCATCCAGGCACCCCCAGCAGAGGGAATTTTAATCCAGACTTTTATGATAATAATTTCTTTAAGTTCCAGTTTTACCAACTTAAACTATATATAAATGTAAATATATTGTGTGTATCTTTTTGGATCTTGCTCCTTTTGTTTACAAACTACTATTTGTATATGAGATTTATTTACCTGTGTTACTATAGTAGTGTTTTCATTGTCATTACTCTGTTGTATTTCATTGTATGTTTTATACTTTATTCATTCTTCTATTAACGGACATGTGGGTTCTTTGTAGTTTTTGGTTGTACATAAAATGCTGTTAGAAACCTTTCTGTGCATGCCTCTGAATATGTACCTAGCTGAGTTTTGTATATGGGTGTTCACGACTTGCCGAGAAAATACCGTGCGGTTTTCCTAAGAGGCTGTGTTGGTTGACTTTCTGTCAGCAGTGTTTGAGTGCAGGGATGAGTGTCGCTAAGGCCAGCTGTAACTAGTGCCATGCCTGCCTTAAGCATCAGCAGTGGACAAGAGTGAGGCTGCATGACCTTGGGCTCCACCACTTTATCACCCTGCGGCCTTGCGTAGATTCCTTAACTTTTTGCCTCTTCCAAATCATGATTTTTTCCAGGTTATCTTTGCTATGGCTTAGGATGATAGGGTGTAGCTTTTAGTTTTCATGGTTATTTCCCTGGATAGATTCGCTACTTGGGATTCAGAGTTTGTTTTATTTATATATGTGTGTGTGTGTGTGTGTGTGTGTGTGTGTACATACACGTATTCTTTTTTGCAAAAATTATACTTTCATTGATTTTATATAATGAAGTAGAAATTTACTACTACTCTGATGGCCACATTACTAGGAACATATTACTTTTAGTTGTGATAACTGCTAAGTGTACAGAACTGTATACTTTGTAAAGCTTTCATGATTCTTTTGTAGTTTGACCCTTGCAGTAATCTGAAGATTAGAGCAAGCTGGTTTATTCTCACCTCAAGAGGAGGAAACTGAGGGTCTGGGGACTTGTCAGAGTCACTCTGTCAGTTTTGTTGGATCCAAGACTTAACTCAGAGTGTCTCTAAAATCCCATCTAACATAGCTTATATATTGGTGAGTCTGACTTCCTACGTAAGAGTCTTGGAAAGTACACAGGTTTTCAAACGCTTTAGAAATGGACTACCAGCTAAAGAGTTTATCCTCTTTACTATTTCCATGTTTATAATGTGTCAGGGTTATAATTGGGCAACACATTTTGTGACATAGTGTTTTGCTTTCAGGGAGTGCAGCCTGCCACAGGTGAGGTGGTGTTTGACAGTTTCCAGGACTCTGCTTCCCGTTCGGAGCTGGAGACGCGAATACTGTGCCTGCAGCCGGTGGAGCTGCTGCTTCCCTCACACTTGTCAGAGCAGACGGAGACACTCGTGCACAGAGCCACAGCTGCCAGGTAAGACGGCACCGCCCTGGAGAATAACACTGAGTTTGAAATCTGATCTGAAATCAGATTTAATTCCTGAATTGGTGCTTACTAAATTTATTAAGGTTGTTAAAAAGTTTTTACTTACAAAAATGTTTTAACAGTAGTCCTGGAAATGTCAAAAAAGAAAAAAAAATTACCCTTAATATCACTTTAATGTAGGGCTTTTAAAGGGGTGTAATAGTATTTGGTAATGAATCTTTAGTTTCTGGAGTTAATTTAGAGTTCATATCTTATAAAGGTTAAGTAAATTTGAAAGTGCTTTATCTGTGCTGTGAGTTTTAATTTGTGGTACTGTAGGAATGTTACCAATTAGATTTAAGGTCACACTTATGAGGCAGTGCGCTAGGCACTGGCATACAGAAGAAGGGGGTGTGGTTGTGGTCTGTGTCTTGCAGAGTTTATAATCCAACAGGAGAGGCACATGTGTACATACCTAACTGGATTCACAAAGCCTGGTGTGTTAAGTGACAAACATGAAGATACCTTTTTGAGAGCATTTCATACTGCTACCTGGAGGAGTGTCTGGGGACAAAAGACACTGGAAAGGCGGACTGGGGGTCCAATGGAGAGGATTCTGTATGGAGGAATTTGGACTTTAGATGAGGCAGGAGAGCCCCTAAAGACTGTCAGTTAGGTTGACAGGTCAATCAGAAAATCAAACTAATTGATTAAGTGAAGTTCCATATATTTTTTTCTTTGAGTTAGGACTGTTCTGTTTTCATTTGAATTGAACTTCTTTCTAAGTAGCTTTCATAATGTATTTTTTTGATTATACTACTCCATGATCATTTGGGAAAACCTGGGAGTTACCAGAAAAAAACAAAAGGAAGAGCTAAAAATAAGTCAAATCCTATAACAGAAAAATAATTACTCTTAAATGTTTTGGTGTGTTATTTCTATGTATGTCACCTTTATAAACTTGGATTCATGTTGCAAAATCAGTTTTGTGTTGTTTTTTTTCCTAAAATTCCTCATACTTTTTTGTGGAAAATTTTATTTTATTATGGTAAATTTCAAACATATACAGAATTATACAGAATATTGCAGTGAACCCCCCATGAATCCCATCAATCAGCTTAAACATTGCTCAACTCAGCCAATTTCATTTCTTGCATATTCCTACTCCCCCTCACCTTGAATTATTTATTTGAAGCAAATTCTAGAGGGCATCATATCATCTACTAATATGTCAGTGAGTAGTCATTGAAAACAATGTGACTACATATCTTTCAGTCATGTAAATGGATAATTTATCCATTTCCCTTTTGTTATGTTGCATTCATTTTTCAGTTTTTCAAATATTGCTGTGATAAATATCCATGCATAGAAATACTTGTGTGCATTTCTGATTATTTCCTTAAGCTAAATTCCTATGAGTGGAATTACTGGGTCAAAGATATAAGTACTAAAACTCTTGGTTGCTTGCTAGAATTGGTAATATCAGTTTATACTTCTACCCCTACCAGATAGGAGAGTTGCTTGAACCTTGCTAACATTGGATCATTTAAAGAATCTCTGCTGATTAGATAGATGAAAAATTCTGCATCAGATCCCCTTATTTTATTATCCTTTTCTGCCAGTGAGTTAAAACTTGAATAATTGAAGTGCCTGGGTGGCTCAGATGGTTAAGTGTTTGCCTTCAGCTCAGGTCATGATCCCAGGGTCCTGGGCTCTCTGCTCAGTGGGAGCCTGCTTCTCCCTCTCCCTGCTGCCCTGCCCCCTGCCCCGTCAAATAAATAAATAAAATCTTAAAAAAAAAACCAAAACATTGAATAATTGAAAGTGAGGCAGTAGACTGATAAGGGGTGCTGCTCTTGAAGACCTAAAAAAATTAGTCTTCTAAAATTAGTCTCCTGTGTCCAATATTTTGTATCTTTGTTTTTCATTTTTCTTTGTAACTGCATATATATTCAATTGACTGAGGTATAACTGAGACTAAAGTCAGTCAGTTGAATCAATACTTCCATTTTTCTCTGGGTCTAGAATGAGTCTCTTGTAAGAAGCATATTGAAGTCTTTTTTTTTTTTTATCCATTCTGATACCCTGTGTCTTTTGATTGGAGGATTTATTCTATTTATACTCAGAGCAATTATTGACAGATACGGATTTAGTGCCATTGTGTTACCTGTAAAGTTGCTGTTCCTCTAGATTGTCTCTGTTCCTTTCTATTCTTTGTTGGTTTTAATCCCTTTCCTGCTCAAAGGGTCAAATATTTCTTGCAGGGCTGGTTTAGTGCTCATGAACTCCTTTGTTTTTTGCTTGTTTTGGAAAACTCTATTTCTCCATTTATTCTGAATGACAGCCTTGCTGGATAAAGTATTCTTGGCTGTATACTTTCTCCATTCAGCATGTTGAATATATCCAGCAATTCTCTTCCGGCCTGCCAAGTTCCTGTGGACAGCTCTGCTGCTAACCTTATGTGTCAGTCCTTGTAGGTTGCGGACCTTTTGTCCCTAGCTGCTTACGGAATTCTCTCTTTATCTTTGTATTTTGCAAATTTCACTATGATAGGTCTTGGTATTGACCTTTTTATGTTGATTTTGAGGGGAAATCTCTGTGCCTCTTGGATGTGAATGCCTGTTTGCTTCCCTAGATTACTGACATTCTCAGCTAGAATTTGTTCAAATAAACCTTCTGCCCCTTCCCCCCCCCCTTCTTCTGGGACTCCTATGATATAGACATTACTGTGCTTTGTGAAACTGCTGAGTTCCCTAAGTCTATATTTGCGATCTAATAGTTTTCTTTCCCTCTTCTTGGCTTCATTATTTTCCATGATTTTATCTTCTGCATCACCTGTTTTTTTTTTTTTTAAGATTTTATTTATTTATTTGACAGAAAGAGAGATCACAAGTAGGCAGAGAGGCAGGCAGAGAGAGAGGGGGAAGCAGGCTCCCCACTGAGCAGAGAGCCTGATTCAGGGCTTGATCCCAGGACCCTGAGATCATGACCTGAGCCGAAGGCAGCGGCTTAATCCACTGAGCCACCCAGGCGCCCCTGCATCATCTGTTCTATCCACTTCTTTTTCCATCCTCATTGTTATTATCTCCAGTCAGTTTTGCATCTCAGTTTTAGCATTTTTATTTCAGTCTGACTAATTTTTAGGTGTTATTCTAAATTCTTGTTGAGCTCTATGCTTATATCTCTTTTAAGGAAATCCCTGGCTATGATTTCTTGATCTTTCTTTTGGGGAGAATTTTTCTGTCTTGTCATTATGTCTGGGCTTTTGTCTTTTGCGTTTTGTGGAAGTTTGTTGTGTTTCCTGCTCCTGAGAGTAATACTACATTAAGAATCTAGGGCCTGGCGCTTCAGGAAGTGTTTCTGGTGTATGCTTGTGCACTCTGCTGTTGTGTTTTGGTAGCTCTTTCCCACAGATCAGTCCTCTCCAGAGTTCCTCTTTGCTTGCAGTGGGGAGTGTTTGGACCTTTAACTAGATGTGCTTTAATTTGTTTGTGAAGATAAGTCTAATTTAAAAAAAAAAAGAAAAAAATTCCTGATCCAAGAAAAGAGAAAAGGAAATGGAACATTAAAGCAAACAGATGAACAAAAAACTGTAAGCCTGATTCTAAGGAAAATAAGAAAGAAATAAAGAAAGAAAAAAAAAAGCATGATCCAAAAAATAAGAAAAGGAAACAAACCAAGTAACACACAAAAAACTATAAGCCTCATTCCAAAGGAAAAATTTTAAAAAAAATTAAAAAAAGAATAAAAGCCTGGTCCTGTTTCCACTAGAACTGAAGCTGATTGTTTGGAGCACTCTGTGATCAGTAGATGTGCTTACATGCAGGGGGCCTGTGTTGGTCTTCTCGGGGAGAGGTCTGCTGCATTGGCTGTGGCCAGACCTGCCTATTAAAGAAGTCCCTGTCTGGAGCAATGGGGCAGGGTTTGGTGTAAGCGACTCCAGCTTCCACTGGCAGCGCTGTGTTTCTCTCTCAAGTTCTGCAGTGCTGGTTGTGGGGGCTAGGGAGAGTGGAAGATGGCATCACCCTTCCTTCTTGTCCCCAGAAAGGGAACTAGGGAACCCACAGTCGCTGCTCTTTATGAGGTCCTCCCAGGAAAGCAAATGATCCCCTGTCCTGTGTCCCAGGCTTTCCTCAGATCACTCCTCCCAACCTGTCTGTGCCCTGCTGTGCGCACACCCAACCCCACAATTCTCCTGTGTTTTACCTCTGGTCAACCAATGGCTGGGATCAGAATTCCAAATCTTAAAGAACTTGGCTAAGCACTGACCCCTACCACTGAGAGGAGAGCCTTGCAGCATTGTGCCTGTCACCGTTCTGTCCCAGAAAAGCAGTTGCATGCCTTTGTTGCTGCCTGGAGTCTACAGTGAAGCACGGTGGAAAGCTGAGACCAGGTTCTGTGTCCTCTGCGTGAGTCTCTGTGGCCTGCTGTTGAATGGCTGCTCATAGGTGCCCGGCGGGCCTTTCATCCTTGGAGAGGCAAAATGCCTTCATCCAAATGTACTCTAAGAAGGGGAGCGTTCTCTGCCAGTGTGACCCTGGGGATCCCCACACTGTGGCATCTTGTGTGGAACCCGGGTATGGCTTTCTCTCCTGCTCTCCCTCTCTCCAGTTCCACTCTGCGAAAAATGTTCCCTCCATTTAGCAGCACTGTAGCTTTTCTCTCCCCTGGTCTCAGAACCTCCCCTAGTCTCAGAACCTCGCATCTGCCATGTTCTCTCTTTCCAGTTGTGCACATTGTTTTCTTGATCCTCAGATCAATTTCCTAGTTGTTCTGAATGATTTTATGTTGATCTCGCTGTGTTCAAGGGACAAGGCAAGTTCAGGGGTCCGCTACTATTCTGCCATCTTAACTCAAACAGCAACACTCCCATTTTTCTTATTTCTACTTTTAAAAAAAACAAAATAATAAAGGCATAAATTAAATAAAATAGGAAAATATTCCACAAAGACATTGCCAAAAGTGAAGGGCTTTTTTTTTTTTTTTTGCTGGCGAACATCTTTGCCTGT